CTGTGTGGCTCGGGGCCTGGAACAGGGTCAGAGATAAGCAGGATGCCGAGCTTATCAGGGCTCTGGTGTTCCAGAGAGATCATCCCAGCCAGCCCACCTCATTCCCAGGCTCAGGCGGCCAGGCATCTGCAGGCAGAGTAAACACGGAGTTGGCAGAGGCGCCACACAGCAGCGGCGGCGGCAGCGGCAGGATGCGGACTCCATGCCCCTCTCCGGCGCTTTGCAGCCCCAGTGCCAGGGGCCAGCAGCGGGCATCAGGTTACACCCAGATATTTGTGGTAAGGGCAGCTTCTGGCCGGTCTGCTTTGAAGTGGGAGCCCGAGGAGCAATTGTTAGGGTCATGGGACTGAGGGAGCCTGGGTGACGGCGGTAACCTAGACCTGGGTCTCTGGGACCAAGAACTCAGCAGGAAGCTTTGGGTGCCGGGTCCAGCCTGGGATGGGCAGCTTGGGTCCTTCCCAGTGCGTGCAGGAGGTTGTGGGCAGACAGGGCCGAGGGGGGCCAGCCCCAGGGCTGTGTCGTCCTGGCCCCTGTGAGGCTTGCTGGCGTTCTGGTTCATTTCTTGGTTTCCTTTCCTGAGTTAGGTCCGCTTGGTGGAGGACGTGTTTGCACACTCAGGTAACACTGCTTGCAGGGAAGCCGAGTAAGGCCCAGGGAGGTGGCCCTTCCTCTTGGCCCCACCTGTACTGAAGTGACAGAGCACATGCCATCCTGGTGGCTGACCCTCGGGTGGGGAGGGGTTGGTGCTGGGGGTCGGTTCTGATCTCTGCTGTGTTCATGTGTCAGCCTGGGCCAGCCTGAAGTCGCAGGCAGCCCTGCTCTGCTAAGCCTGCTTTGCAGGTGAGGGGGGCTGTGTGTGGAGAGTTGTGTCAATGCCAACTGTGCAGCCAGCCCGGAAGTCCGCCTCTCCCCTGGACACGTGGCCTGCACCTCTCAGAGAATTGTCCTGGTGTTTGATTTTGTTAGAATGAGCCCCTTCTGTGCCCCGTGTCGTGTGGGCCTCCCCTCCATGCTGTGCCCTTGACCTCTGCGGAGCCCGCTCTTGTTCTCCTCCCCAGCCGCAGACGCTCCCTGGGGTCCTCCAGCTGCTGCTCCTGGTGTTCGCTTCCAGTCTCCTCCTCTTCAGTGTTGCACGCTATCTACTGACTTCCCGTCAGAGGATGAAGACTTGACTCTCGCTGCCCCCACGGCCCCTCCCCCATCTGCACAGTCCACGTGTCACTGTTTTAACTTAATGTTCACCTTGTGGTGGCACAGTGTAACCGACATGTAGATGTTGCTCACTCTAACGTCTTTCGTGCACTTTAATTTCATTCTTTCTTGGAAGAACTCAAATTTCCTAGGGGTCTAATTTCTTTTGTTCCCCTTTGCCCTATAAGCCAGCATCATACTGGTGGCTAAATTTGAGCACTTCTAGTGTGCCAAGTACGGTTCCAGGTGCCTCATAAACCTTCTCACGTAACCGGTGACATCGCCACGGAGCGTATGCATCGTTCTTCTCATGTTGCAGCCCAGGAAGCGCAGACTCAGGCCACGTCAACTGGCCCATGAGTCTGCCCCCCCAAACCAACAGATGCAGGAGTGGAACCCAGACAGTCTGACGCCAAGCCACACGCCCTTCACATGTGGCTGCGTGTCTTTGTTATACTGTAGACCTTTTTCTGCCCCCAAAGTCCTCCCTCGTGGGGGCTCTCCATCCTCCTGCCTGAATTTTGGACCTAGGTCAGAGCTGGGGTTTCTAGGATCTAGTCCTTTATTTGTTTAGTCCCTCATTTTGCTGGAGTATATTCTCAAAACAGCTTCCTTAGAAAGGATACCTACATTTTTCACATCTTTGCAAGTCCTAAAACTTCACTCTTCACTCTGACCTCTGACAGGTGCAAGGTCTTGAAAAACCTCAGGGGGCACGCTTTCTGCTTTAACATTTTGCACTTAACCTGCCTTCTAACATCCAGCTGCTTTTAGGGTGAGGAGTCTGAGGCTGTGCTGACTTCAGTTCTTGGATGTACGGCTTTGTTTTCTCTTAAATTTTGGGGAGACTCAACTTTTTATCCCAGTGTCCCAGAGTTGCATGAAGATAGTAGGATTTCTTAGATAAGTTCCTTCCCTCTCATTTCTGTTCCCGCAGGCCCCTGAATTAGGTGCCACCGTCCAGCTTCCTTAGGTTTCTTTCCGACGTGTGCGTCTCCACCCTTCAGTTCTCTTTTCCAGGATAGTAACTATTTTCTAATCTTTACATCTTAAACTTGAACATTCGTGTCTTGGATCTCCAAGGCCTGTCTTTTTCTCCATGTTTCGCACTTTTCTGTGGCTGAGAGCCTTTTAAAATCTTTGTTTACTCCACTGTGGATGTTTCTGCTTGTTCGCTTTGGGCTCCCCTTTTTATCTGGGGGGCTTCCTGGAAAACCTGGAGACCTTTTTAATCTGCATATTCCAGAATGAGGCCCAAAGAAGCAGGTGGTGGCTGAGGCCTGTGTGCTTGGCCCCGTTGAGGATGATCAGGTGGCCCCCAGACGGCACGTGGAACTGTTGCGGCGCGGACCCCCGAGTCTCTCCGGGAGTGTGGGGGCTCTCCTTGCCATGCCCATTGAAGGAGGGGGCCATGGCTTTGGGATGGACCCCTCTGCTTTGCATTTCTGCGCCCCTCTTACCCCACCTGGGGTCAAGGGGAAAGCTGGCCGTCACAGGCTGGCGAGGGGTCCTGGGGTTCGGTGTGTGCTGATCGAAGCCTACAGCAATCAGGTCGGCTGGTATGTTCTCAGGAGTGGGTGGGCGCCTGTTCTCACCCAGGAAGGGCGAGGCCTCACCGGATGTGCTTCCCAGGTCCATCCAGCCAAGCAGCCTCACCTCTGGTCCATGTTCTCTTGACTTGGGGGGTTATGTGGCTCCTCGATTCTCTGCGCAGGCACCATTGCCCACAATGAGCGGCCTGTGGCTCCTGCTGGCCCTGTGTCAGTCAGTGGGGGAGCCACGCCAAGGCCCACCATGTGCTTGCACACGTGCGCCTCTCGTGGGCCCGGGAAGGACAGCGGTTCTGGCAGGGCCTCCTGAAGCTCCTCAGGACTGTGGGTCCCAGAGGAGCCCAAGCCGATTCGTGGGAGTTGCCATGGTTTCCTGCCCTGTGTGTCCAGGGGTCCTGGGAAACCCCAGGTGCTGTCTCCTTCTCCCGGCCCCCTGGTGGCTGGCCCAACCTCCACTTCCTGCTGGTGTACCTGGGAATGGGGACAAGGCTTTGCTGGCCTTGCGAAACTTAGAGAGGCTTCTGGAACAGTGGCTGGCGGAGTAGCCACCTGCCCCTGGCAGTCCCTGCTCCTCCAGGAGACCAGGGCAAAGCCCTTTGCATTTAAATAGTTAGCCTTGGTAGAGATACGCGTCTGGGGTGTCTGTTTCTTTTATGTTCGTCTGGACTCTGTAGACATGGTTCCAGGCTTTCTGAACCCAGGGCTGGCTGGACACCCATGGCCCTGCAGGGCTCTGAAGTGGCAGTTGTGATGGGGTCGTTGGCGGGGCGCAGATCTAGGCCTCTCCCGGGCCCTGGGTCTGCCTCTGTGGGCAGGACACCCTTACACAGAGATCACCGGCACCTACTAGGCAGCCCTGCCCAGGGCTGGACTCTGGCACCCTAGGACCCTGGGGAACATCACGGGCAGTGTGGGGAAGACTCCCTGTCCATGCCCGGGCCAGGGGAGGCCCTGCTGGGGACACAGCAAGTCCCGAGAGCCGCTGGAGCACGGCGCTCACCCGCTGCTCTCTGGAGAGTTGGTTTGTGTGTCTGTTTTAAAGCACAGTGAGCAACACAGAATACATAACAGTGGATAGGACCGCACCCTCCCACAGCTCCGGGCTGGCGCATTGACAGTGCCCGGGACCGCACCCCACAGACAGGTCTGGGTTTCCGTGTGGGCCACTCAGGGCAGCCGTCCCCACCCAGGATGGCAAGTGAAAGCCGGAGGTTCAGCCATACTCCCGTGGCACAGTGTTCAGGGTCCCCCAGAGCTTGAAGGAGCAAAATCATGGCAGGCTGGTGTTGGATGTCAGGCTTCCAGGTCAAAGCTGGTTCTCATAAATGCTTTTATTCGGAGCGGGAAGCTTACATGGACACTGCAGGCCTCGGCCCCCGCTGAGCTTGGAGGCGTGTGCAGGGCAGCCCTGGGCACGGGCCGCTCTGGCCTGGCTTTCTTCCCCCGAGGGCCTGCGAGGAAACCGTCAGCGGCTCCCGGGCAACCTTAGGACTCCGTGGCACCCCCTTGTGCCCAACCTCACGTCCACTTGAGCGTTTTCCAGCCGTATTTAATGACGCTTCCGTCACAGTTCCCTTTGAGACGAGGGCTGTGAGGCTAAAGCGTTGGGAGCCACGGGAAGCACCGCTCCTCTGTTCCCGGGGCCTGACTGCGTCCCTTCGGTGTGGCTTCTGTTGGGGGAGCAGGGGGTCGTGGGCAGCTGTGCCCTTAGTGGAGTGTCCTGCAAAGAACATGACCTATGGGGCAGCACTTGGTGAGTAGCCGAGGCCATTGTTCCTCCCTCTATTTTTAGGTACAAGTGACGACGGAGGGCCTGGTGTGGGAGGGACCCGCAGATCCGCCCCACGAGCAGCCTAACACACATTTGGGACGGGGGCAGAGCAGGGGCTTCGTTGTCTCGTTTGTAATTTGCAGAAGCACCCGGTGTGGGTCAGGGCAGGAAGCTGAGGGCCTCGAGTTCGTTTGCGGTCCTGCTTCTTGTGGATTAGCTGTGTGAGTGGCGGGTGGGACCCCGGCTGCTCCTCAGTCTCCCTGCACCGGGGGTTCCTGGGCCCCTAGCAGAGTCCAGACTTCAGGCTCATTGCCTCGAGGACCCCCTGCTTCTAACCTTCAGTTCCAGCTACACAAACTCCTGCCGGCTGCGGGCGGCAGGTTCTTAAAATACCTGCCCATCAGCACCCTCTCAGAAAGGAATGTTCAGTACTGCCGTGATGTCAAAGGGGCCCCAAGGGTAAGGGCCTGGGCCAAACTGGCCTGTCACTCACGGTTCACAGCAGAGTGGCAGATAAGCAAAGGCTCAAAGACACCCTGCTGGTGCACGGGCTCCGTGGACGACCCGGGGAATCTGCCGGGTGGCTCCGCAGGCCCGGCTGTGAGCTCCTGGGAACAATGAACTTGCAGCCACCACTGCCCAAGTGAACACCAGGGTGCTGCGCTCTTCCTACTGCTCTCCCTTGTCAAGCCCACACCAGGATGTCGGGAGCCCCCAAGGAGAGTGTGGGGGCCCTTGGGCTGCCAGGGGTGGGAGAGGACTGCTTGACCACCATGGACAGAAAGCTGAATGTGCTCAGTGAGAAGGTTGACAAGCTTCTGCATTTCCAGGAAGATGTCACGGAGAAATTGCAGTCCGTGTGCCAAGGCATGGGCCACCTGGAGCAGGGCCTGCACCGGCTGGAGGCCTCCAGAGTCCTGAGCCCAGCAGAGGCCAGCCCTGCCCCTGCCCCTGCCTCTGCCCCTGCCCCTGCCTCTGCCCCTGCCCCTGCAGGGGACACGCAGGCTGGCTGGCTGGAGGTCCTGGAGCTGGTGCGGGCCATGCGGCAGGATGGGGCCCAGCACAGCGCCAGGCTCGACGCCCTGTTCAGGGTGGTGGTGGCTGTGGACAGGGCCATGGCTCTGGTGGGGGCCGTGTTCCAGAACTCCAAGGTGGTGGACTTCATCACTCGGGGGAGTGTGCCCTGGCGGAAAGGAGGCCTGACTGACGGCCCCGCGGAGGTTGGTGCCCGTGCCCGCGCCCCAGCACCCTCCCGACTGGAGGGGTGGGCGGCCCCCAGGCCAGTGGGGAGGCCAGCAGGTGGCTCATCTTAGGAGAGCCAGGGATTGTCTCCCTTCCCCTTCGCGTGCCTCTTGCATGACTTGTTGATGGGGAAAAGGAGAGACGGACTGAGAAAGTCAGGTGGGTTTCCCGACAGGGAGAGGCAGCGCCCCAGGAGGCCTGTGGGGCTGGTGCCTGGAGCTGGGGGACAAACAGGTCCCGAGGGAGAGGGGGACCTCCAAGTTTCCTGGTCATCCGGTGACTTCTCTTTGCTCCTTATGTCCCCTGTGGGAGGCAGAGGGGCACGGGGAGGAGCGATGGCTCCTGACAGGTGGGGTTTCTCCTGACAGAGACCCCATGCAGAAACCCCAACCTCTCCCTTCCTGTCCCTAACCTTGTGCCCTGTCCCAGAGTGGGTGGAGTGTGGAGTGACAGCTGCCTGTGAGGGCGAGTGTTGACAGTGACCCATGGGGGACACAGGCCAGGCAGGAGCCGGGGCCTGGGGGTGGAGGTGGCATTTCTGGGAGTGCTCTTTCCGAGGGTTGCACAATCAAACCTGCTGGCTAATGGGAGTTTGGCTGGGGTGGGGGTGTTGTGTGTGTGCATGCGAGGTGTGCAGGGGCAACACTCTGTTTGGGAACAGCTAAGGGACAGCACTTAGCAACACTCACGTGGCTTGGAGCCACCGTGTCTGATCCAGGCAGTTACCCACCAGCCTCTGGCAGGAGATAAGCTGGGGTCTCCAGAGCTGGTGCCTTCTTTCTGCACCCCCAGCCTGGCCGGAGCTGTCCCAGCTGACCCCTTCCCCTCCTTGCTCAGTCACTTCCCCCAGCGCCCCCTCCAGCCCACTCCCTGCTCTCTGCCTGTTCCTGTGAGTCCGGCCAGACCTGTTCTCTGGCCACTGGTCGCCAGCCTCAGCTATAAAAGAAAATTCATCCACCATGTGCCCAGGGTGAGAACCATTCCTGGGTTATAGAGGGCAGACCCCTCCTGCTCCATCCCCCAGGGCCCAGGACAACACCCCCACCCCCAGCCCAGCCTAGGTGCCAGTTTCCTGTGAAACCTTCCAGAAATAGCTTGTTATCTTGAAGTGTGTTGGGATACACACCAGCCTTTTTGTTTTGTTTAACTCAATTATTCTTCACATTGTTGTGGCATGTATTATTCTCTTAGTCCGTGTATTTGGGGCATCATTTCACATCAGCACTGAAAGAGCTCCCCCACTCTTGTCCGTAAGTGGCAGAGTGTGCCCTTCAGGGGACGTGTCTCCGGAGAGCCCCCCACCGACGTCCCTGTTGGCTCATCTCGGTTCTCATTTTTAGCTCTTACAAAAGTGATGCGGTGACTGTCCATCCGGCCATGAGTTTCCCATCCGACACACTCCTAGAAGTGGCAGAGCTAAGGAGCCAAAGGGCAGATCTGTACCATCGATAAAGGCACCCGAAGAGAGTGGTTCTAGTTTAGTGTGCAGTCCATAACACGTGGGAATGCTGGTTGCTAACAAGGCGCATCGTCTTTTCATTCTTTGCCTCTCTGGAGGGTGAAAATGGAAATCTTTTTGTGCCTGTGTGCGTGTGTTCAACATTAGTATTAGAATTTTTAAGCATTTATAAAGACAGCTTAGTAGGGTGACCCCTGTGAGCCCCGAAACTGGAGGCCCATGTTCCCCACCCATTTTCCTCTTTCCAGAGTATTTTAGCAGATCTGAAAGATTGGATCATTTTGTCCATGAACATTTCAGCATTCTTCTGTAAAAGATGAGATGTTTTGTTTTTTTACCTATTGTACCTAAAAAGTAAACAGTAACTAATATCACCAAAGTCACTGTTGACATTTTCCTTTCTTATGCTCTTTTTAAAATTTTATATTTCAATTATAGTTACTCTGTGTGAGTTTCAGGTGTACTGCGTAGTGGTCGGACAGTCACACACTTCACAAAGGGTCCCCTGACGAGCCTCCAGGTGCCCCCAGGGGCCACACACAGTTACACGACATCACTGACTGCATTCCCTGTGCTGGGTGACACCCCAGTGACTGTTCATACCTGTTGACTGGTGCTTCTCGGTCCCTCACCTTTGTCACCAGCCCCGCAACCCTACCCCCAGCCCTGTCTTTTTTCTTTACAGTTTATTCGAGTCAAGCTCCAAATAAGGCTATTGGTAGTCTGTTTCTTAAAGCTAACACTTTTTTTAAAGACTTTATTTATTTATCTTTAGAGGGGAAGGGAAGGAGAGAGGGAGAGAAACATCAATGTATGGTTGCCTTTCGTGTGTCCCCTGCTGGGAACTGGCCTGCATCCCAGGCACGTGCCCTGACTGGGAATCAAACCGCGATTGTCTGATTTGCAGGCCCACGCTCAATCCACTGAGCTACACCAGCCAGGGCTGCTAACACTTTTTTTTAATCATATAAAAATTTAAAGACTCTTTACTGTGGCCCTGGCCGGGTGTCACAGTTGTCTGAAGCATTGCCCTGGACACCAAAGGGCTGCGGGTTTGATCCCCAGTCAGGGCACAGACCTGAGTTTTGGGTTCGAGCCTCAGCCAGGCCACGTGCAGGAGGCAGCTGATCAGTGTTTCTCTCTCACACTGACGACGTTTCTCTCTCTGAAATCAGTAAAAACATACTCCCAGGTAATATGTTTTTACTGATTTGAGAGAGAATCTTAAAAAAAACCCAACTTTTTATTATGAAAAATCTCAAACATAACCAAAAATACATAGAATTACGTATCTCACAATAGTTTTAATTTATACTTTTCTAGACATTTGAGCATCTTTTGTAGATTTGAAGCCTTTTCCACATTTGCACGCACTGCCTGCTCCAGTCCTTTCCTGCTTTTCCATTTCGGTTTTTGGCTTTTTCCTACTGATCTGTGAGAGGTCTCCACGCAGTGGTGAGATGAGCCGCCTCCCTTGCTGCAGATGTGCAGGCATTTCTGGGTGGGGAGAGAGAGAACGTCCTTTTTTCTGAGTGGTCCCATTTCTCGTCTGTTCTCCACTGACTGCTCTCCTTTCTGGTCTTTCGGGGTAACACACAGACCTGTAACTACTGCGGGTTTGGGTCTGACCCCTCAGTCAGGTGGCCAGCTCCCCACCGGCCCAGTTGGGAGGCCTCCTTGCCACTCTGTGCCCTGCAGGCAGGGCTGGTCACGCAGGAGGTGCCAGGGGACGGGCAGTGAACCGATGCATAGCCCCAGCTAGTTAACACTCTGCGCAGAAAACTGTGCAGTGTGGAGATTTTCTAGAGACAGACCTCTTTGTGTTTCCAAAGAGGGTAGAAGCATAGTGTTTATTTGTGGACTTGAATTTGATCCTAGCTCTAGCTGTTAGATCTGACAGTCGTGCCAGGACTTCGCCCGAGTCCTTCGCCAGTCCCCTGGAAGGCCCAGTGGCACTCCATGTGGTTGTGAAATGATGTCGATTATTACCAGGGCCAGGTGGTCTTCGGGAAGGACGGGGTCAGGCTCAGCCGGGGGTGGGCCCGGCTCACGGCCCAGCTGTTCAGGGATGCCAGTCCTCTGGAGTGGTGTCCCGGCCTCTTCTCCTTGTCTTGGATGCACCGGGCAAGGCAGGGCCTGGAAAGCTGAGCCCTGAAGACAATACCATCTGCGTGCCTGCGTGCGTGCGTGCCTGCACCAAAGACAGACGGGGGGAGAGGGCGATCTGGGCCCCACAAGGGCTGCCAGAGGACAGCCTGTTTGAGTCCTTCTCCACCGCTGTGGTGACACAGCCGGCCGCCTGTGACAGAGCCTCCAGCCCCCCAGAGATGGGGGTGGCAGGGCCGAGTCTGCAGAAAGAGGCTCAGGGACGGGGCTCCGCTGACCAGGGCTCCGAGGCACATGGAGATGATGGTGGTCACCCCGATGGCAACCGGAAGCATTTATTTATTCACTGAGTGCCAGCCCCACGCCAGGCACTGGGCGCTCCATGACCATGTGTTGTGTTGTTACCGTTAAGAAGGCAGAGCTTGGTGTCCTGGGACTTCAGAGACATGAGCAGGTGACAGAATCGAGGGACATGGGTGCAGTGCAGGAACAGAAGTGGGACCAACCCCCATTTCCGTGCTGGGGAGCCATGTGGAGAGCTGAGGGCCAGGAGCCCCGCATTGTGGGGGGGCCCATGCCTGCTGGTTTGTGCCACATGGGCCTGGAGGGGTCAGGTCTTCACTTTTTTCCCCCCAAGAGACACTGGGAACTTAAGCCTTTTTCTTCAACCAAATTTATAAGGTGTGGTTTACTTACAGTCAACTTCCCCTGCACACATTTAAGTGTGCAGTTGAACAGTGAAATGCGTCCCGGCAACCACAGCCCAATCTGAGTACAGAGTGGCTCTATCATTCCAGGAGGGTGCTTGGAATTTCCGCTTAAACATCTCCTAGGTTTGAAGTCTGCGCAGCAGAACTTTTACAATGCTGTGCAAGCCGAGCAAAGTGTGTCCCAAGCTGTATTTGGCCTCTGGGCTCCCAGACGGGGCCAGGGCAGGAGGGAGGGGCTCTGCCCCAGCTCAGTGCTGTGCCCACACCCACTGCTCCACCAGCCAAAGGCCCAGAAGCACCAGGGGGACCCAGTGAGGGGCCATGCCCCCTGGAAATATATACTTAACTAAAAAAAAGTTCTTTATTCAATTACAGTTGTCCCCATTTCCCTTCCTTTCTCCCTCCCTCCTTCCCTCCTTCCCTTCCTTCCTTTGAGATGTTTATACTCGGGAACGCTGAGAGCTCCAAGCTGCTGGGGCAGTAAAAGGGTGCCCAGCTGGTGCAGGTCTGCAGTGGGCTGATCCGAGTGCAGGCCGAGCCGCGGAGGGCTCACGGAACACGGGCTGCTGTCTGTCTCAGGCAGGACGGAGTCACCCTGAGTGCTTCCCGAGTGCTGGGCACTCTTCTTAGCACGGTCTGCAGATTAACTCCCCCAGCTGCCCACTAACTCAGAGTAGGTGGTGTTCTCCCCATTGTACAGACGAGGAAAGTGAGGTGCAGAGAAGTTAAGGATCTTGGCCAAGTGGGGAAGGTGGGCTCAAGGGTCTGCGAGTTCATGTCCCTGACCACACTGCCGTGACACCGTGGGGTGACCCGCCTGACTTCCAGGCAGATGTTACTAATCGGTCGTGGCATACAAACCCCGGCAAGCATGGATTCATTTGTCTTAAGGTGCAACCTAGCCAACACCCCACGTGCCATGACCGACTGACCGAAGTCGACATTTAAGATTAAGCGTATTTCCCACCCCTGGTCTAAGCACCTTGAAGTCCGGCCGGTGTAGATCCTGCGTCAGGGGCCAGGCCACCCTCTGCCCATGACTCACTAAGATGGGACCTGGGGAAAGCCACAGGGTCACTCTGCCCAAAGCGATGGAGCGGCTCCACTGCTGGAATCACTGGGAGACCAGGCGCATACTCGTAGGTCTGGCGCATGGTGGGTGCGCAGCAAAGGTCTGTGGCCAAGCGATGACATTGACGACAATGACAGTGTTCATGGTTGTCCTTTCAGAACAAGGAGAGAGAGGAGGAGAAAGGAGCCACGCCGCAGCCCGTGCTGTGCTCCAGGGGCGTGCAGGCCGAGCTCGGGGGGCCGCAGGGAGGTAAGTGCAGCCCTTTTGCTTCATCCTGCCTCGCACACCTGCAGACTGAAGCCACCTCTGCCACCAACACGGCCATCACCCAGCACCCGAGAAGCATCTTTTTCCTTCCTGTGCATCCGTCAGATGGGCAGTCCACTGTGCGTTAAAGGCACTTGGAAACGCTCCTCTGGCAGCCTGCTTGATAGTGCGGTTTATTTTTTCACTTCACTGTAACTCTTCAAGGGTTGCTCTTTGTAAAGTTTAATTTTTTAAAAATAATTTTGCGTAATGTTTACATGGTCCCAAAGTCAACCGGACAAAACAGGGTATGAAAAGTCAAGCATCCCCCCTGTTCCCTTCCCTGCTGCGTGTGACCCCTTTCCAAAGACTGTCTTCCCATCCCCTTACAGTGCGGTGTCTTTAGACCACCCGATAAGTGAGTTGTGCCCACGCACACTCGCGTGAACATGTGTGCACACACACACATCTCGGAACAGAGCCACCATGCAGGCTTCTGTCTCCCAGGGTCGTGGCGGCAGCTTCGCCTGTGGGATGTGCCCTTTGGACGGACGGCCTTTGGGCTGTTTCCACTCTGCCTCTTACAAGCACGTCCTACTGTGTGGCCCCCTCGTCCTGTCCTTGTTGCATCCTTGGGAGAGAACCCTCCAACGGGCCTGCTTTCCCACCCTGTTTCCCTGTAGAGAGCCGGAGGGCTGACCTGCCAGAGGGCACCCCGGAGGGGCTGCCTGCCGCCGGCGCTTCAGGGACGGGGCCTGCTGTTCTGGCCCAGACAGAGACCTTGCCGGGTCAGGGAGACGGCGTTCCTGGCCCAGACCCTGAGGCCGCTGGACACCTGCCACCGCCCGCAGAGGCAGAAGCCAAAGCTCCTGAGGCATCCGGCGAGAACCCTGGGACCGGCCTGGAATTGCCTGCAGCACCCAGCAGGGTCAGCGAGGCCCTCATCGGCCAGGAGGCTGCCCCAGACGCTGGACAAGGACCATCGTCCAGCAATCCTGATACTCAGCCCACAGAGGAAGGCACGGAGCTGACTTCCGGGATGCCAGCTGAGGCCACAGCCACTCCAGGGGGCGAAGACCTGCATCTGAGGTAGGGGGAGCGCCTGGGAGCTGGGCCGGGAGGAGGGAGCCAGCCTGCTTGGGAGCACGTCCGCCCGAGGGACCCGTGGGTCTCCGTGGGTCTCCGTGGGTCTCCATGGGTCTCCGTGGGTGAGCGCCACGGCTGGGCGGCACTGCACTGCCTCGAGAGAAGGCAGAGACGGCAGCTCATGGCACGACCCTGCTTTCGAACATGGTTTCTTACCTGGCACCTGTAAGAATCACCTAGAAGAAATTTTTAAATACCGATGCCCAGAGATTCTGATGCGTTCGTCCCCCAGGGAGGCTCAGGCATTGGGTTTTGGTTCGGTTTGGATTTTACGCGTTCCTGGGTGACTCCAGCACGGAGCTGAGCATCCGCAGCTGCTGGAGCAGTAATGGCGGACCACGCTGCAGGTCCCCCACCACACCCCTGCAGCGGGCTGGGCAGACTGTGCCCCAGGCCTCACCTCATTTTATTCTCACGACACCCCAGGAGGCAAGTGTGGTTGGCCTTCCCGTGGTATTGCCGAGGACAGAGGCCCAGAGTCCCCAGGGCCGTGCAGCTAAGGATTCAGAGTTGGAACTTGACCCAGGTTACTGGGCTCCGTCCAGACTCTGTGCACCTAACTGTGCGCCATCCTGCGTCCTCACACAGTGTTGAAATGAGTCCGAACTGCGGTAGGAGAGGGGCGTGGGCAGTCTGGGGGCACTACAGGAGGGTTGTGCTGGGATCCTGGAGGCAGAGCTGTGACCGGGCCCTCAGGTGGTGGCCTCGGGACCTGCCTGTGGCAGACACAGTGCAGGACAGCGAAGAGCCAGTACCGAGGACTCCCAGCCTTTTCCAGGCCTGTGGCCAGCATGCCCCAGCCTCCCTGTCCCACCCCCATGCCCCACAGCCACTGAAGGACTTGGTGCCTCTCAGGCTTCCCCCTCAGGCTTCCCTCCCAGGGCGGGGCTTTCCTGCTCCTGTCCTGGGACGGCCTGACCCTCCGTGGAGCCCGCCCTCTGGGGTCCGGTGCGGGGAGCTGGTGTCCATGTGCTCAGGCCTCTGGCAGAGAAGCCCAGGTCGGTTGTCTGCCTTTGTTCTGGAGGGAGCGGAGCCTCCAGGAGAAGGGAAGGATTCCTGGCAGGGCTCCCGGTCCCGGCCAGGGTTCTGAGTGTGGGATCTGGGCATGGAGGGTTGGGGAGGTGCTTCCCACGAACTTGTAAGGGCCTCCCTAAAGATTCTGAGTGAAGAGAAAGGTCTCAGGTCAGACTCTGCCCCGAGCTGAGTTTCAGACACACCAGCCCTTCTGGGGTCTGAGAAACGAGGAAGGTCGCCCCCAGCCAATCTGCAGCCGGCACGGACTGCACTCAGAAAGCTGTATGAAGAGGCCTGCGTGCAGGCGTGCTCTGTGCGGCAGCAGCTGTCCTGCGCAGGCCAGTGTGGACGTGAGGGCCTGAGTGCTGCCATCCACATGCGCTGCCCACACAGAGGGAAGACCACAGTGGCCAGCAGTGGCCATCAGCCTTCTGAGGGCTTTATTTTCCTCTCTGCCTAGAATCCCTGTCCATGCGCAGGAGTTGGGTACCCCTGCGGAGCTACCAGTGACACAAGGGGGTGGCCTTGGACCTGCACCCCCTGCGGAGGCTGCAGCAGCTGTCCAGCCAGGTGAGCAGGACCCACCTGAGCCCAGGTGCTGTCCCCAGGCTCCTGGGACCGAGTTGGAAAAACAGACCCCAAAAGGAGCCAGCGAGTGTCCCCCACTGCCTGTGCGGAGCAGCGACGGGGGAACAAAGGCTGAGGACCAGCAGGGGTCTGCACCTGAACTTGCCACTGGACCACGTGGGGCCAGGAGGGACTCGGGCGACGGCACAGGGGCTCTGGGCCTGCAACCGAACAAAGGCCCAGGAGCAGGGAGCCCTGAGCCCCAGAAGGACTGCGGCCCTGGAGAACTGGACAGAGCCCAGGAGGGGAGGACGCCCCAGGGAGCCGAGGCCTACAGCCTGGTTCTGGGTGAGTGAGGCGGGTGCCGTGCACCCGAGATGTACGGGTGTGGAGGGCCTCCTCCTGCAGAGCTGCCTCGTGGCTTCCAGGGAGACAGAACGCAAAGCTGGGGGAGTGCCAGACTAGGAGCAGCCCACTGGGGCCTGCTGGGGCTGGAGACATGGTGGGGGAGCCTGGGTCGGCATAGCTGTGCGGAGGAAAGAACCAGGGGAGTTCTCCGAGCCCTGCCCGCCTGAGCTGTCCACCGCTGCTGTCCTTCTGGAAGGACACAGAAAAGGCTCCTGGTAAAGAACAGGCGTCTGCATGAGCCGACTCGCCCTGGGATGGGGACGGGGTGGCGAGGCGCTGACCTGCTTTCTGTCCCAGGGCTGTGCGAGGCATCCTCGTGTTCTGTGCTCCAGAGGCCTTCAACTCCTCCAGCCCTTTGGGTCACACGGTCCACCCCACATGGCTGCAGGAAAGCCACCCTTGGCCCAGCCCTGCCCAGGGGTCTCAGGAGGGCCCTGAGAAGGGTTGTCTGCCTGACAGTGGTCCCGGCTCTCTGGTCACTCTGGGCTCCACAGCTGCCTTGTCACCAGCTGCTGCCTCTCCCCTAGTATGGCTTGGTCCACCTGTGGGCACAGGCCTCCCTTCATCCCTGAAACCCGGCCGAGAGCAGGCAGCGACTTCACAGGCCTGTCTGAGCCAGCACACACCGAGGACCCGCCGTGCTGAGCAGCGTGCACTGGTGCCGGCCTCTGTCCTTGCAGGCCTGTGGGCGGGGGGTGCATGGAACCCTGGAGTGGGTGGGAAACATGCCCCAGGCCTCTCTGTCAGCACTGAAGAGCCAGGGTCTAACCCCGGCTGTCTGGCTCCTGAACCTGCATGGGGACCTCACGGCAGTGCCTTGTTCAGAACAAGCCAGCAAAGTGACTGGACTGGAATCCTAGATTTGGAATCTGTCACATGCACCAGCAATCCAGGCTCTCCCAAACTTCCCAGGGACCCACGAAAATGAAAAAAACAGAAGTTCACAAATGTTAGCCCTTGGTGTCCAGGGCTCAGGGCTGGCTTTTGTGGGGACGAAAAGGAGGAGCCAGATGCTCTCAAGGCAGATCCAGATGTCTGCTCTGGGGAGCAGAGAGAAACCTCAGTGCTGGGTTTCAGGGGATGGGACTCACCCCTGGACACCGAGTGCTTCCCTGACAGGCTCCAAACCAGCGGCAGCCCCGCCACGGACTGCCCGTCCTGACGCACACACTGCCTCACCTCGCTGTGTCCGTGTGTTCTTGATTCTTTTACCCCTCTTCTCTAGTTCATGTAACATTTCTAGTTTCCTGTTACAACTGAAGGACAAGATGTGAAAAAAAAAACCCTAACTCATTTTTATCTAAGTGCTGGTGTCCTCCATTCCCACCTCCCACCCCCGCCCCAGACTGCTATACCCGCCCCCGCCCCAGCCCACCCTGGGACTGGCTCCTGGGCTGCACCACGAGCTCCCGGACCAGTGGGGACATCCAAGGGCGAGGAGGGGGAGAGGCACTCGCTCCTCCAGCTGCCTCCCTGGCACCAGCCTTGCTGGCTCTGGCAGCCCCGCCCGCCCTGTTGAACACAGTCCGTCCTTCAGCTGCTCCTTTACCCTGACTGGGGTAACTCCCGTGTCCTGCCGCCGCACGGCCCCCTCCGGCCCTTCTCAACGGCAGTGAGCAGGCTGGACCTAACCTCCCCATCTTGCAAAGAGCACTGTCGTGGGTGCAGGGAGACTCAGGTTGGAGTCTTGACTGTCACTGCCTCGCTGTTTGACCTTGGCTGGTCACCTCACCTCTCTGGGACTCCACTTTCTCCTCTGTCAAATGGGTGACTTGAATGACAGGATCCTTGAGAAGGACGCAGGGCTTGTCACTCAAGCCAAGTGGGCCCTGGACGGGTGGCTGAGAGGGCGGGGCTGCACGGTGGGGGCTCACAGGCTGCTGTCTCCGAGCAGATGATAGCCCGGCCCCGCCAGCCCCGTTCGAGCACCGGCTGGTGAGTGTCAAGGAGACGTCGGCATCGGCGGGTTACACCGTGTGCCAGCACGAGGTCCTGGGAGGGTAGGTGGACTTTCTGCTCTGATGATGGCTGGGAGCAGGAGGTGGGAGCAGAGACGCCTGGGGTGCCGGTTTGGGTGCTGCTGGGTGGGTCTCAGCAACTGGTCAAGCCAGGCCGGGATGGGACATCCTAGCAGTGAGTGGATGGTTCGTAGGGCCAGGTGAGGAGAACAGCCCCCAGGGGACAGGCGGGCCCACGCATTGTGGAGGTAGGGACCTTGTACTGGAGGCGACAGGTGGACCCACATGAAGGGCAGTAAGAAGGATGTCCTCCAGGGAGGGGCTCAGTGCCATGGTATGGGGGCAGGCCATGTTCCCGGGGCGCAGGGTAGTGTGGGTTGGCAGAGTTCCTGTCTAGGTTTTAGGGAGTCCCGTGGAGTGGGGCTGCTGACGTGGGTGCCTCTGGGGTACAGCAGTCCCCGTGGTGTGTGCAGAGGAGGGGTGGACCTGAAAGCTGGGGGTGGGAGGGACGGGATGGCTCTCAGCTGCTGTGTCGTCATGCCTGCAGGGGCCGGTTTGGTCAGGTCCACAGGTGCACGGACAAGTCCACGGGCCTGCTGCTGGCAGCCAAGATCATCAAAGTGAAGAGCGCCAAGGATCGGGTGAGACGTCCTCCCCGGGCTGCCGGCCTCTGGCCAAGCCCAGGGCTCTCTCACTTCCTTCTCAGCCCCTGGGCCCCTTCGCCTGGACCTGCCCAAACTGAACAGGAAGCAGGGCCTCCTTTCCTGCCTCTTTCCATGACCCTGCGACCCCAGTCTGCAGGCTACCTGCACCCAGAGTGACAGGGTCCTCCTGGACCTCTCTCTGGCTGTCCTTCTCAGGCCTTGGGTTTCCTGTCTGTGATATGGGTGGGCCTGGCAGGGTCCCTTCTGTCGTCAGAACCCGGTTTGGGCGGTGAGTGGAGGCCAGCTGGTGTGACAGCGGGAAGCAGTGTGGGGTGGGTGTGCGGGGTGCATAGGCGTGTGCCTCCGGGGGGCAGCTGGCTCCTCTTCCTGACCCGTTTCTGGGGAACTCTCCTCCCCTCTGGCTCTGCAAGGAGGACGTGAAGAACGAGGTCGCCATCATGAACCAGCTGAGCCACGTCAACCTGATCCAGCTCTATGACGCCTTCGAGGGCAAGAACAGCTTCACCCTGGTCATGGAGTAGTGAGTGTCCGTGGTGGACAGGCGGCTTCACCGTGGCCAGGGGCACTGGGCTCGGGCTCAGAGCGGGCATCCTGGGCGAAGCTGTCCTCCTCCCCCCCCCACCCGATCTGGGCAGTCCAGGGAATGAACACCATCACCTCCTCTGCTGGACCTCCACTGGGGGATGTGGAGGACAAAGCCACTGTCCCAAAGCAGTGGCCAGCGACCTGACCTGCAGGTCTCAGTTTGGCCTGGCCAGTTTTTAGTGGTTCTGAAGTGGCGTTGGCAATTGGTAACTGGGAAATTGCACATTGTAACCCGGGAAGCTGGCTTTTCTTCAAGATCTAGTCATGCTGCACCTGTATTTCCAGCTGGAAATGGGTCTGATTTGCCGACTTGCAGTTCTTGCCTTGTAGGTACTAACAGGCTCCTTCCTGTAGGCTAGTGAGTTGACAACCTTGGTCTGGGGTGTCCAGACTGAGGCCAGCTGTCCACACTGCACCAATCCAGCCTTCTCTTTGGCCTGTCACTTCCTTTTTGCCACCTGCACCCTGAGCTGGGAAGGGGCCAGAGCACAGGTCCCCACAAGACCCCAGATGACAGTGATACCCTCGGGCTCACCTGGGGTGGCGCTGAGCAGACCGGTTCTCCAGGAGCCTCGCTCAGCGCGGTGCCTGCCTCTCCTTTGCCCTGGCAGCGTGGATGGGGGCGAACTCTTTGACCGGATTACAGACGAGAAGTACCACCTGACTGAACTGGACGTGATCCTGTTCACCAAGCAGATCTGCGAGGGCGTGCACTACCTCCATCAGCACTACATCCTGCACCTGGACCTCAAGGTCAGGCCCCACCTGGGCGCTGCGGGTGGGCAGGTGGCCCTCGGTTCTCAGGCCGTGCAGCTCTCTCCTCAGACACCTGGCTTCCCTCCCTGGCTCCCTGTCATTTCTGGTTCTGGAGTCCAGGGCGGACAAGTCCTGCTGACAGTACGAGCCTCGGTTTTTCCATCTGTAAAATGTGGATAACATACCTCTGTAAGCAGTCCTTGAAGATTAAGTGATACGACTTTTGTCTTTAAAAATATCTCTTAAATTAGTTTCTTTAAAATTAACGAAGGTGCATGTGCTTCTGGTTACGAGGAGAGACCACGTAGAAATGCATGGGGTGGACAACGAAAGCGCTTCCCACCCAGTGTCCTCGCTGAGAGGCCTTCTGCACTAGCAGTGCAGCCTGACAGGCAAGCCACGGGAGTCCGGCTCTGCCTCTCCTGAGTGCACTGGCCTTTCTTAGTCAACGGGGCACTGTGGACACCCTTTCTCATGCTCATTAAGGTCCGCGGGTATTCCATCAAATGGGTACAATGCACTTTCTTTTGTCTCCTTGACAAAAAGCGATGCTGATACTGGCAGGTTTCTTTCTCTCTCTCTCTCTCTTTTTTCTTCCTTCTTCCCTCCCTTCCTTCCTTCTTTTCTTCTGTCCTTTCTTTCATACGGGTTTATTCCTTGGCTGTCTGTTCTGTTCCATGGATCTACATGTCTTTTTTTTTTTTTTTTACGTTTGTTTAAGATTTTATTTATTTATCTTTAGAGGGGAAGGGAAGGAGAGAGGGAGAGAAATTGGGGCTTCTACGTGTCTTTTTAAATGCCAGTACCACACTGTTTTAATTACTGTAACTTTGTCATATAGTTTGAAACCAGGAATTGAGATGCTGCCTCCAGCTTTGTTTTTTCTCAGTATTGCTTTGCTTGTTTGAGATCTTTGGTGGTTTCACACAAGTTCTAGCATAGTTTGTTTTGTATCTGTGAAAAATGTCGTCGGACTTTTGATAGGGATTGCATTGACTTTGTAGATTGCTTTGGGTATTAACAGTATTAACTCTTCCAGTCCGTAAGCACAAAATATGCCTTCTTCAGTTTCTTTCATTAGTATCTTACAGTTTTTAGTACACAGGTCTTTCAGCAACTTGGCTCGAGTTCCTAAGTATGCATTCCTTTTGATCAATTATAAATGGGATTATTTTCTTAATTTCTCTTTCTGATAGTTTCTTGGTGTATATGGAAATGCAGCTGATTTTTGTAGAATGCTTTTGTACCCTAAAAACTTACTCAATTTGTTTTTTAAGTTCCACAGTTTTTTTGGGGAGTCTTTGGAATTTTCTGTATATGATATTCGTGTCATCTGCAAACAGTGAGTTTTGTGTCTTTCTTTCCTATTTGGATGCCTCTTACTATTATTTTTTTCTTTCTTTTTGCCCAGTTGTTATGGCTTGGACCCCCAACACTGTGTTGATTAGGAGTGGGGAGAGTGGGCCATTGAGTGTGTTAGATGAGTATGTTACATTGAGTATGTTTCACCATTGAGTATGTAACATACATTGAGTATGTTACATGTGACTTTTGTTATATTAAGGTGTGTTCCCTCTGTACTGAATCTGTTGAGAGTTTTTATTATGAAATGGGTGTTGGATTTCGTTATGTGTTTTCTGCAACCGTTGAGATGATCCTGTAATTTCATCCTTGATTTTGTTAATTCGGGGGACCCCCACGGGCTGGCTGGCGCGTGCTGAGCTGTCTTCACATCCCTGGAATAAATCCCGTTTGACTGCGGCGCACGGTCCTTTCACGCGTTGTTGAGTTTGGCTCACTAATATTTTGCTGAGGATTTTTACATCTGTATTCATCAGGGATGTTGGTCCGCAATTTTCTTTTCTTATAATATCTTCGTCTGCCTTGAGTACCTGGCTAATACTGGCCACATCAAATGAGTTTGGAAGTGTTCTCTCCTTTTTTATTTTTTGAAAGACTTTGAGAAGGATTGGTATTCATTTTTCATTAAATGGTTAGTAGAATTCACCAGTGAAGCCATCTGGTTCTGGACTTTTGTTTATGGGGAGATTTTTTTAGAAAGATTTTATTTATTTTTAGAAAGGGGAAGGGAAGGAGAAAGAGAGGGAGAGAAATGTCAGTGTGTGGTGGTATCTCACGCCCCCTGCTGGGGACTTGACCTGCAACCCAGGCGTGTGCCCTGGGGATCGAACTGGCAACCCTTTGGTTCTCAGGCAGACCCTCAGTTCATTGAGCCACAGCAGCCAGGGCTGTAGGGAGCTTTTTGATGACCAATTCAGTCTCCTCACTAGCACTTGGTCTGTCGTGTGGGTGACAACATGGAGAGAGAGTTCCAGGATGGCCGTGTCCATCCAGGATGGTGGCCACTCAACCCATGTGGCTGCTAGGCGTTTGGAATGTAGCCACTGTGATTGTGGAACTGAATTTTACATTTGATTAATTTTAATTAATTTAAATGTAAAAACTGGCAACTCAGCTATTGGAAAACCATTATTTGGAACAACCTCAACTATGAATTTGTGTTTCAACTATGGTAGTGCCTCTTATCTGTGGTTTTGCTTTCAGCAATTTCAGTTCCCAAGGCCAACGGTGGTCTGAAAATACTACGTGGAAAATTCCATATATAAACGATTCATGAGTTCTAATCATGCACCGTTCTGAGTAGCGCGATGAAGTCTCGTGCCGTCTCACTGGGACAGGAATCCTCCCTTTGCCCAGAGTCCCCAGGCTGCGTCACCACTTCCTGACAGTCTATAGTGATGTTCTATTTTATTGTTAGTTGTTTTTGTTAACAACCTCTTACTGTGTCTGTTGTATACATCACTTTATCATAGATACGTAGGTATAGGAAAAACAGTATGCGTAGCATCCGGTACTGTCCTTGGTTTCGGGTGCCCACTGGCCATCTCAGAATGTACTCCTGTGGACGAGGGGGTTACTGTATACGTTTCAGGAAATCTAGATACAAGCAATGTATGAAATCTAAGTACATCTAAAATATTTCTGATGAGAATATTTCTGAATTGCGATGTCCTGCAAGTGGAGAATGACATACTGGAGCTGAAAGACTTAACATAAAAAAGGAATGGAAGATATCTCACCAATATTTGTTATACTGGTAACCCACTTAAGTGACAATATTTTGAATATCTTGAGTTACATAAATACATTATTAAAGTTAACATTTAGGAAATGCTGTAAGATGAGTAAAAATGAGAATGCCACACACCAAAACTTATGGGATGCATGTAAGCCACTTTTATTAAAAAAAGAATGAAGCCCTGGCTGGTGTAGCTCGGTGGATTGAGCGCGGGCCTGTGAACCAAAGGATTGTGGTTCGATTCCCAGTCAGGGCACATGCCTGGGTAGCAGGCCAGTTCCCAGCGGGGGACACACGAGAGGCAACCACACATTGATATTTCTCTCCCTCTCTCCTTCCCTTCCTCTCTAAAAATAAATAAATAAATAAAATTAAAAAACAATATCCTTTTAAAAAAAAGAATGAAGATCTCAAATCAGTAATCTGACCTGTCACCTTAAGAAACTTGAAAGAGAACAGCAGTTTATACTCAAAGCAAGCAGAAGGAAAGAAATAATAAAGATGAGAGCAGAAATAAATAAAAAGAGACTAGAGAAACTATAAAGAGGGTTAGCGAAACCAAAGGTAGGTTCTTTGAAAAGATCGGTAAATTGGCAAGTCTTTAACTGTACTGAACAAGAGAAAAAGAAAGAAGACTCGTATTTTTAAAATCATAGATAAAAGTGGGGGGATTACTACCAGCCTTACAGAAATAAAGAAGCATTATAAGGGAATAGTATTATAAATTGCATGCCAACGCAATACATAACCTACATAAAATGGACAAATCCCTAAAAGACACAAACCACTGAAAACTGACTCAGGAAGAAATAGAAAATCTGAATGGACTGATAACAAGGGAGGCAGTCAAATTAGTTTTCCTAAGTACCCACAGAGAAAAGCCCAGGCCGATGCAGCCTCCCTGGTAAATTCTACCAAATGTTTCAAGAAGAGGAACATCAACTTTTAAAGCTCTTCCAAAAAAGAGAAGAGAAGGGAACAGTTCCTCTCATTTTGTGAGGCCTGTCTTATCCTTATTTCAAAACCAAAGAACTCACGAGAGAGGGAAACCTGCAGAACAATATCCCTTAACATTATAGATGCAGCCCTGGCTGGTGTAGCTCAGTGGATTGAGCACTGGCCTGCAAGCTGAGGGGTCACTGGTTCAATTCCCAGTCAGGGCACATGCCTGGGTTACAGGCCAGGTCCCCAGCGGGGACAGGAGAGAGGCAACCACACATTGATGTTTCTTTCCCTTTCTTTCTTCCTCCTTTCCCCTTTCTCTAAAAATAAATTAAAAAAATATTTTTAAAGTATAGATGCAAAATTTCTCAATAAAATATTAACAGGTTGGATGCAGTAACTTATAAAAAGGGATATGCCTGTCACAGAGTGGCACCGATCCCAAGAATGCGAGGCTGGTTTAGCACACGGAACAAGTCATACGCCGTAATATGCCATATTAAAGGAGCAAAGGACAAAGATCACATGATCATTTCAAGAGATGTATTTGAGCCCTGGCTGGTGTAGCTCAGTGGACTGAGCTTGAGCCTGCGAATCAAAGGATCTCCGTTCGATTCCCAGTCAGGGCATATGCCTGGGTTGCAGGCCAGTTCCCAGCAGGGGACACATGAAAGGCAACCATACATTGATATTTCTCTACCTCTTTCTTTCCCTTCCCTTCTAAAGATAAATAAATACAATCTTAAAAAAAAAAGCATTTGACAAGATTGAACAACTAACTGTTCATGATGAAAACCCTAAATAAACCAGGTGTAGAACTTCCTCAGTCTGATAAAGGCCGTTGGTGGAAAACAGCTGACAAAATGCTTCCCGGGAGAAGGTGGAAGGCTTCCCCCTTAAGGTCAGGAATGAGACAAGGATGTCTGCTCTTGCCACTTTTAAAAAAAGATTTTATTTATTTATTTTCAGAGAGAGGGGAAGAGGGTGGAAAAGGGAGGGAGAGAAACGTCAGTGTGTGGTTGTCTCCTGCGCATTCCCCACCGGGGACCTGGCCGGCAACCCAGGCATGTGCCCTGACTGGGAATTGACCTGATGACCCTCTGGTTTACAGGCCTGCACTCAATCCACTGAGCCACCTGAGCCAGGGCTCTTGTCACTTCTATTAAACGTGTACTTGAGGTTCTAACAAGAGCAGATAGGCAAGAAAAGAAGCAAGAGGCATCCAGTGGAAAGGGGGAAGTAAAACTCAGTTCACAGATGATGTGAACTTGTGCACAGAAGATCCTAAGGAGGCAGAGAACTGTTAGAACTAATAGACGAGTTCAGCCAGGATTTCATTGCCAACATTTAAAAGCATGGCATTTTCACATAAAACCCTGGATGTTTGGCTTCTCCTGAGGACTGAAGAACCGCATTCCTGTGTGGCTGCCCCCTTATGCAGGGCAGGAGTCCTTCAGTTCTCTGCAGGTCCTGCCACCCCGTACTGTCACGCACTAGCCTGCTTTATTTATTTTCAGTGTCTGTCTGTCTCCCTGGCCACCTCTATTACCTATCTCTCTGTCTCTGCGTCCATCCATCTATCCACCCACCTGTTTGTTCATCCATCTATCCATCCATCCACCCATCCACCCATCCATCCACTGGCCAACCTGCCCGCCCATCCCTGGAGGGCTGCCCTGAGCCATTCATTTCCCTGGGAGGCTGGGAAGCAGAGGCCTTTTGACAAGCAGGTGTGGGAGATGCAGAGCCTCTGAGCTGCTGACGGAGCCTAAGCAGACTTCTCCCTCTTTCCCAGCCGGAGAACATCCTGTGTGTCAGCCAGACGGGACACCAGATAAAGATCATTGACTTCGGGCTGGCCAGAAGGTAAGGGGCTTGTGCTTCGGCACGTGGCCAGGGCTCCGTGGCGGGCTCTCTTGGGCATGGTCACCCGCCGCTCAGCCAGTTTCTGAGTTTCGGGGCTGACACAAGCGCGTTCTCCTGAGAGGAGGAGGGCCGCCTTAGGCTGTAACCGCCGCAGGGGCGTCTCTGCCTCTCCCTCGGACCACCTGAGTGAACAGAGAGGGGAGCAGTGGTTAAAGGAGCCACTCAGTAGGCACACTGGGCAGCTTAATTCTGTTTGTTCCCTGGCCTGCTAGGCCCAGGACGGCTGCCCGTGTGATGCCACTGTCACCAGCCCTGCCCTCTGGAAAAGGAAGAGGTTGAATGGGAAAGTGCGTATGTGGCCACGTAGGGTTTGGGCCACTCAGGGCTGGCCTGGATCTTGGTGACAGAGTGACACAATGAAGTCCCTGCCAAGAGGCGGTTATGAAGGTTAAATGAGGAATACATTCTTAGGAGCCATCCTAGGAGGACGGTCAGGTTCTCAGGGGCCAGGGCAGGAAGTGAGTATCACATGCCATTTTCAAACATCTGCAAGTCCCTTAAAATGCCGAACACTTAGTGACGCACAGTGTCACCGTTGGATCCTGTGCAGCTGCGTGTGGGGGGTTGGCCCAGGCCCGGCTTTTGGCCCGGGCCCCGCACACCCAGCCCTGGGTCCTCAGCGGTAGCAGCAGCAGGCCCTTGGCACTGGGTGGACTGTCTGTCAGTCACACGGTGCCTGGCCAATAGGAAGTTGCATCACAATTTTTAAATTGGCACTTTATTTTTTTAGAGCAGTTTTAACTTCCCAGAACAAATGAGGGCCGGAAGCAGAGATTTCCCATAGCCCCGCCTGCCCACACATGCAGAGCCTGCCCCATCACCAACGTGATGGGCCTATTCTGACCCAGCAGCGCCCCCCCCAGGCCAAGCGCGCTGCACACGACACAGAGGGTGCACCTCCACCAGCCCCGTCCAGTCTGGGCCCTGGTCTGGGAAGGTAGAATGGCGGTCTCTCCGTGTCCCATTGTGGAGGCCTAGGGGAGGAGCCTGCGGTTTCTCATTCTCCCTGGGACTTGGGGGAGGCCTGAGTTGGGGCCTGGGGCTGAGCATTCCCAGCCCCGCCTCTCCTCCTAGGGCAGACTCCCTCGGTCCCCTCACAGCCTGTCCCCACCCCTCACCATCCCCCAGGTACAAGCCTCGGGAGAAGCTGAAGGTGAACTTCGGCACTCCCGAGTTCCTGGCTCCAGAGGTGGTCAACTACGAGTTTGTCTCGTTCCCCACGGACATGTGGAGCGTGGGCGTCATCACCTACATGCTGTGAGTGCCCGGTGGGGATGCGGCGTCCTAACTTAGAAGCATCCAAACTCTGAGTGCAAGCCATTGATCAGGGAAGTGTGCCCAGGAGACAACGAGAGTGGGGAGGTGTGGGGGAGGCAGCCAGTAGAGGGCGCTGGGGAGCCAGTCACCCCTTGGGCACCCCGTCGTGTCCTGGAGAGAACTCTGGGTCTGTGGCGGACGCTCATTTCCTCAGTTACACCTTTGAGGGCAGGGAGATGAGGGGTCGGTCCACCAGCTCTTCTCGGTGACTGCCTGTGGGCTGACCCCAGGGGCGCTAATTCCTGAAACTCCTGATCCACTGGGCAGAAAGCTCTCCAGCACAGGAATGCAGGTGGGCCGTGCAGGTGGGGCGGGGCTGCCGCCAGGGTGGCCAGGGTGGCCATCTGCTGCGCCGTCTGACCCGTCCGACCCGTCTGACCGGGCCGTCCCCTGCGCTCCGTGTGCTGTGGGCTGACCAGGCAGGGCGACGATGGGCTGAGAGATTTGTGTCCTCCCCCGTGGGGCTGTTCCCTGGCCCAGGGAAGTCAGGCTTTGCTCCAGCCGTACCATTATGCCTCACTGTGACAGTGTCCCCACACTCTGTGTGTGTGCAGGGTGGGGGTTGGGGGTTAGGTGAGGCCCCAGGCCGGCCAATGAGGGTGCCCTTCCTCTCTGCGGCCCAAGGCCTGGGGAGTCTCGAGACCGGCTAGGGTCTCAGACACGGGCTAAGCTGTTTAAATTAGGCCACTTTTACCTGACAAACGGACTCTGGGTGGGCCCCGGGTTATTCTTTCCTTCAGGGTTAGGGGGACAGCGGGCAGCCTGCTGGGCTTTGTCCATCCCGTTGTCAGAGGTTCGGTCCTTCCTCCCTCTCCCCCCCAAACCCCCCGGCGGCGTGAAGCACAGGGGCTGTTCTCCCGTGGACCCTCTTGGTCCGGTGGGTTCCTCTTGAACCTTGCGGGGGGCCCCCTCTGTGTCCCATCGCTGCGCGTTGGCAGATGTGGCTTCTGGATGCTCATGGTCCTTTCTCTCCTCCACAGACTCAGTGGTTTGTCCCCATTTCTAGGGGAAACAGACGCGGAGACCATGAACTTCATCGTGAACTGCAGCTGGGATTTTGACGCCGACACCTTTGAGGGGCTGTCGGAAGACGCCAAGGACTTTGTGTCCCAGTTGCTGGTCAAAGAGAAGAGGTACCTCTGTGGCCTGTCATTCATAACGCATTCTGGTCACAGTCGGTGACAGTCAGGTGTGCCGGGCGGGCCCGTTCTCCCTGTGGAGCCATCCGTCCCGGATCTTAGTCCGCTCCCTCTTTGGGGCAGAAAGGCAGCAGGACGGCGATGAAGGAAATAACTGAAAAACGGCGCCTGGGAGCATCACCTCTAGACAGAGTTTTATTGGGGTTTTTTTCCCCTATTTTTTTTCTCTCTAGGTGTGGTCTTACAAAGGGCCATATTTACAAACTGGTCCCGTGTCTGAGTTATCAGTATTCATAGACTAACGTTGGAGAAAAGTTGAGCTGTGCAGTGTTACTTCCCGGAACGAGGGCTGGGAAACCTGCTCCCTGGGTGGGGAAGGCAGCGATGTCAGTGTCCTGGGTGGAGCCGTCCCGGTTTCCCATTCTCGGGCATTGGGAACCCCTGGGGCGAGGGCCGGGTCGGGCTCTGAGACAGCTCCGGGCTTTCTGACTGTGGGAGGTTATGGGCGGAGAGATGGTCCCGGTTCAGGGGAGCGGTCAGTGTTGCCCTCCGGCGGGAGAGGGGTGCTTCCTTCAGAACCCCCACTCCCCTGGGCTTCGCTGGCTGCGGCCCTGCCTCCGTGCCCTGCTCAGCCGCCGGACACAGTCCCTCTCCGGAGGCCCGGGGACATTTTGCTGACCACTTTCCTGCCTTCCTGGGGGGAATTTTAGACATGGGAACTCCCTTTTGGGGTTGTGGCAGGACTTGGCCTCAGCCGTTAGTCTGATCCGCTGACTCGGGCTCCTGGTCAGAAAGAGCGGCCCCCACTAAGCCTTCCGATGTCTGTTTGGTTTCACAGCTGCAGAATGAGCGCTACCCAGTGCCTGAAACACGAGTGGCTGAGTAATTTGCCGGCCAGAGCTTCCATGTCTAAGGTTGGCCTGAAATCCCAGCTGCTGCTGCAGAAGTACATGGCGCACCGGAAGTGGAAGGTACCCTCCCTTAGTAAAGGGGGCGTTTGTCTTCCCAACAGGTCCTTTGACAGAATTGCAGCTAAGTGTCTACTTACATTTGGATTCTAAATAGAGGATTGTTTAACGGGAAAAAAACCCCTCTTACGTCAACACCTGTTAACTTCAGTTAAAACAACACCACAGACCCAGTGCGCCGGGGCATGAAAGTAGCATTTAGTTCGCACTTAGGTGGACACCCGAGGGGACAGAATGAGGTCAGAGCGCAGGGCCTCAGTGAATCCACGTGTCAGAAAGGGGCTGCGGGGAGCTCGCTTTCCAAGTTTTGTGTGCTGTTTACAACAGAACTCTTGGGCACCAAAGATGTAAAATCGGCCTTAATGACCATGGTCCTCCAGGGCCGTGGCTTCCCAGGGCTTCCATGCTGACTCAGATTCGTGTTGAAGAAGCAGAGAGTGCCTCGCCCAGAGACCCAGCCCAGCAGCCGTGCACATGAGTCACATGCACACGCTGGCTTCCCCAACTGGGATGCGCTGTGATGTTTTCTTCCACACTTGCTTTCCTTCCGAAACATTCTGGTCTGAACCCACGGGTTTGATCATGTGACCCCACCCTTCACCCTGTGGGCTCCGTTTGCCGCGGGGAATGGGTAACACACAATCTCGCTTCTCACTTCCTACTTGCTCCAAACAAGCCCCCGAAAGTCACATGACTGGTTCACTGTGTGTTTGCTAAAATTTCAGTTTCCCCTTTCATCAGTTTTAAAGAAACTCAAGTGCCTAAATTAAGTCCTTTTATTTATGTTTTTTTAAACTGGTCTAAAAATAGGCTATCTTTCCTTCTTCTCTCTCCTTTCCTCCAGAAACATTTCAACGTGGTGACCGCGGCCAACAGGTTAAGGAAATTCCCATCCTGTTCCTAATCCTCCACTCGGCTGCTCACCTGGGCCAAGCAGGGACTGAGACGGGCGGCGAGTGAGGACCCGAGATTTTAAGCCATCTGGCCTTTGGCTGATACCGATTCCACTTACTTGTAGAAAAGGTGATGGTGGTCACCTTCCTTGTGGAAGAAAAGGGCTGTAAAGAACGTGGCTGACCGCGGAGCTTGAACTGCCGTGTTGCTCCCCGAGTGTAGGGCCTTGGGGGGCTAAGCGTGGGCTCGCTGTCGTAGGTAGGAAAGCTTGTGCTTGTGCGGGTCGGGTCGGAGTTCTGAACGTGCTGGTTCAGGAACGGGGGCCTGTCGCTCGGCCTCGCCCGCCGCACTGAGAGCTCCTACCAGTTTGATTTGCTTGAGGGTGGGCGGACGTGTGACCATATGCCCTGCTCGGTTCAGCAACTCGGACTTAGGGCAGTGAGCCTCAGCTTGTTTTGCCCTGGGAATCGACTCGTGCAACCTTTAGTCGTCTTTGGCGTTTCAAAATATACCAACCGTCACGGCTAAATCAGAACAAGGATTATTCTGAATGTGCTTTTAAAGTCTCCACCCACTCCCGCCTCTCCCAATTCCACCCCGTTCAGTCCCCCGGACTCCCCTCCCTCAGCCATGAATCGGGGGCCCAGGGAACCTGGAGACTGATACGTAGCGTGGGCGAGATGAGAACCGCACAGATGTGCCACTTTCGGGGAGAAACGCAGACCGCGTCGTTAGTAGGATGCGCAGCTGACCGCGTGGCCATTTCACAGCCTGACATGATGCTGAACAGGGAGAACTTTATCGTTCGGAAGCAAACAGTCCTTTTCATCTCCTCACTTCTAACCCGGTGATCTGTTCTGGTCCCGCAGCCTCTCGGGGCAGCAGTTTTAGTCCGAGTAGTTACTTTGAGTGGTTAATCAGCCAACAGTTTTTAAGCCTTTCAGGATTTCTGTCCCAATAAAGACAGGTTTGGGGCCGAAGACCTGGGTGCGGAGGGTTCGTGCCGCCGTGGTAGTTCTCAAGTTGGCTTTCCTGGTTGAGACCGAGACATTCAGGGCCAGCACGGTAGGCCTGCTCCAAGCTGGCCCGCTCCTGGGACCTCGGAAGAGGTGGCCGCTGGAAACCGCCCGACGGGAGCGAACTGGGGAGTTGGGGAAACGCTTGGTTGTGAAGCATCGGTTGCCTCTCCGAAGAAGGGCCGCTCGCAGAAGGCGCTGGTTCCAGGGGGCATCTCGTGGGTGGGTGAGTCTCAGCCTCTTTGCGACCGAGGTCCTTGGGGGACGCTCTGAATCGCCCCCAGAAACATGGAGCGCGGCCCGCGGGTCTGCAGCCGCACGGCAGACAGGAATGGGGCGTGAGCCACATGCGTAAATGCGTAATTTCTAAAAGTTCCTCCAGAAACAGAAACCTGGTGAAATAAACTTGAGTAATTTATTTAACGCCATGGCTCAAAAGCATTATTTCAATGTGTAATCAACATAGAAATTATTGAGACACTTTATAGTCTTTTTTGTTTATGCTGAGTCTCCAAAATCTGGTGTGTGGTTTGCACTTAATACATTTCCATCCACATGCGAGGTTTTCATCAGACATAATTAATTGGTATTTAGGTTTCACAGAATTTACTGTGGAGAAGTACTCAAGTTGTTTGGAATATCTTACCCATTTTCTATTGAATTAAGTATCTAGTGTTACATTTCATTAAAATACAACTAGGAACTCAGTTCCGTAGTTGTGTTAGCCGATTTTACGTGCCCGGTAGCCGCATGTGGACTGTGGCTTCTGTACTGGACATGGCAGATGGGGACCCTTCTTCTGCCGAATCTCATTTTCCTACCACAAGCCGTCAGTCTCTCTCCAAAGTCTCTCTACAGTCTCTCTCCAAAGTCCCCTTGCAACCCACACAAGTGAGTGGGAAGGATTTTTGCCTCCCTTATCTCAAGTTCTAAAGCTTTTACGAAGCTTTAATTTTCTCTTTTTAAAAGATTTTATTTTTAAACAGAAGAAAAGGGAGGGAGAGAGGGAGAAAAACACCAGTCGTGCTGAGTTCAACTCAGTCTTGCCACATCCATGTGGGGGAATCTGCTGCAGCTAAAGGCAGATCTGAACTGACAGGCGTCTTCCGTTAGTGGAGTGAGAAAAGCTTCCACGGGCGTTCAAGTTTTCTGGGCTAGGCCAGGAACTTAACGGGGGATGTGGAAAGTGGGCGATGGGGACAGGGGGAGTCCGCTTTTCAACATTTGATCTTTTTTACAACGAGCATGCATTATCATTTTAATTAAAAAGTAGCAACTCCGGTGTCCAATGTAGGCCTAGTTTGGACCCTCATTGGAGAGACCAAGAGGAAGCTGTTTTAGAGACATCCAGGGAGATGTATTTCTAACTCGCTCATTGGATGACAACAGCGTTTCTGTTGGTTTGGGGAGGCATGATGACGGCGATGAGGTCGGTTATCCTGCAGGTAAAGGGACTGCGGGGGGAAAAGGAGATACTAGTTATGTGGGTGTGGCAAGTGCTTATTAACTGTTGGGTCTGGCTGATCGGTCTGAGGTTTGATTGCGCTGTTCTCTTTACTGTTGTATGTATTTGAAAACTTTCACGATAGTTTCAAAAAATCAGTTAAACCACGAGGAGCTTCCCAAAAGCCTTTTCAACAGGAAACAGATGGACGTGGTCAGGGGTGCGCTCCCTCCCCGGGGGGTGTGATTGAGCTGCTGTGGAAAGACTTCCTGCCCTGGGCGGGCATGTAGACAAGGTTGCTTCCAGGCGGTTCCCCCACCCTCCAATAATTTAAGAAGTAACCAAGTGCCTACTGTGACCCAGAGAGTCAAAACAACTACCGCTGCGTATTTATTTGTGAGGCACACGGGGGATGAGTCCGACAGCAGTTCGGCTCGCTCTGAAACACCGGCAGGGCTGGACCAGGTCTCCTCTCACGAAAACAGCCGATTCGAAAGCGGACGAAAGGCTCGCATCACATCGTTCCACGGAAGACACAGGCATCCGAGAGCACGGGGAGAAGTGAGCAGTGGTCGGCGGGGAACGCAGATCTGAACCACCGCGGGTGGCTGTGCCACAACCCGAACGCCAGTGCTGGCGAGGCCGTGGCGGCACTGGAGAGCCCTGGGCCCTGCTGGAGGGCCTGTGCACTGCGGCAGCCACCGTGGCACAGTATGGGGAGGTTCTGTAAACATTTAAAAAACATATATTTGTATTTATTGATTTTAGAGAGAGTGAAAAACATCGATTGGTTGCCCCCCATTCGGGGATTGAACCCCCGGCCTTTTTATGTAGTGGGTGACACTCCAACCGACTGGGTCGCACCGGCCAAGGGCAAGTTCCATGAAAATTTAAAAATACAGCTATACCATCCGATCCAGCAATCTCCTCCTGGGCACACACACACAGAAGAACTGGAAGAAGAAGAGTTGTCTGCACACAAGTCTTCCGCACGCCAGTGTTAACAGCAGCATCATTCTCGATGCCCAAGGCGGAAGCAGCCCGAGTTCCCATTGAGAGACAGGTGACAAGATGGGGCCATTCCTACGGTGGTGTATTGTTCAGCCTAAAAAGGAAGGAAGTTCTGGCCCACACTGCAGCATGGAGGCCGAGGACACTGCCCAATGAAACGAGGATAAACACTGTGTGATTCCACTGATGCCAGGTACGTAGTCAAGTTCAGAGACAGGAAGTGAACGGAGGTCCCCGGGCTGGGGGAGGGGCGGGGCCCTGTTCAGCAGGTACTTGGCTTTGCATGGTGGAGAGTTCTGGAAACACTTTTCCCAACTATGTGTCTTCTATCAAACTGCACACTTACAAATGGTTAGGGTGGTAAATTTCATGGTACATGTATTTTACACACTAAAAAAAAAAAGGTAAAGATGCTTAATTTTACCTGAGGAGTAGATCCAAAGCTAGAAATCTAATCTGTGGCACCAAACAAAAACAAACCGCACACCTTCTTAAAATACGGGGGTAGGGACCCACGTGTCTGTTTTAGCTCCAGGTATGAAGGACAGTGACCACCGAGGGAGGCCACTGGCCCTCCTGTGCCGTGCACCTCACAAGCACTGCCTGGGATTGTCACCAGGCACTGAAAGGTAATGAGGAAACCGAGGCTCTGAAATCCTGAGGGTCCAAGTGGCAGAGCCAGCACTGAAAGGCCCGTGCGTGGTCCCGCCCCCTCACCCACAGGGCTTGCCGGACAGGGGCAGAGTTGGGAGCACTTGGCCCTGGCAGGCAGCCGTAGGAAGGCCGACCCGTGGCCCGAACACAGCCAGGATGGCCCTGAGCGTGGCCCCACACACAGCCCTGTTTCCTTTGGACACCCCTGCGGGCGTAGCTGCTCGGTGTCCAGAATGGACGTGGGCAGGCAGGTACCCAGACTAGCCCCCAGGTCCTGTGCCAGGTAGGGTGCCTCAGAGCAGATAAAAGGCCACCGTGGGTATTGATAACCGCCGAGGAGGTTATGAGTATTTGGCTGCATCCAAAATATTAAAATCTTTAATTGGGTCATGTCAACTGTAGTTAAAATGTCTGGCATAACTCAGCATCCATAGCAACTTATCTTCCATAAAGGCCCTTTCCTGGAGTTTTAAATGAGTAGCATTTGGTAAGGTTACATTTCTCAGTATGTGGAAATGAAAGAAATTAAACCCTGGTCCACTGGGTGTTTAACGTGGTGCGAACGTGTAGTGTACTGGCGGGCACCGTGCCGAATGCTGTACATGTGACAACTCGGACTCTCCTCCCAGTGAGCGTGGACGCCATTTTCAGTCCCATGGGCGGATGAGGCCGCTGGCCGGCAGCGAGCTTGCTCATGGTCGCACAGGGGCAGCGGCGGGGACAGGCTCGGCTCAGCCTGCAGCCACCCACCGAGCTTCTTTCCTGCCGCAGTGGACAGCTTTGGACGTGGCAAGGCTTCCCCCAAAAGTGAGGACAAAGGCAACTCGAATACATATAAAAGATAACATTTATTAACTAGGTTGTACCGTGTATTGCTTTAGTCAAACCAAGAAACTAACACAAAAACCCGAGTAAAATCCCTGAGCCTCCCTTCAGCCTGAGTTTTGAGGCCAGGACAGGTGACTTGTCTCCTGCTCACAGTGCCGCGGCCCCCACCTGCTCTGTAGGCAGGCAGGCCGGCGGGAGCCTCGGCTGTGCCACCCAGGACCGGGGCGGCTGCTGCCCGGAGCTCGGCCCCAGTGCTGGTGTCCTTGCTATTAAGGCGCCAGTCCCAGGGCCCTGGTTCTCACAGCTGAATGGAAACCCTGGCGCACTCACACCTTTGCGAGTGGAGTCCGCGCAGGCCGTCTGCAGGCGGGGCTCACTCTGCCGCGGCCGCCCGCGCCATGGCAGCATTCTCCAAAATCTTCCTCTTCCACTCCTCGTAGTCCAGCAGCTGGTCTTCATCGGGCCTCGGTTTACATGGGCGCTCCGCCACCATCTCTGTTTCTGCGAAAGAAAGTGTTCAAAAGCTTTCAGGACTCTTATGTTTACAGATGACATAAAAAGTCTGATTGTGAAGGTGACAGGGAACAGGCGGCAAAGTGCGGAGTGGAAGCCGCAGCTAAGGCCCCAGAGTTCTGCTGGGCACCCAGCACCTGAGGCGCCAGGACAACAGGTAACACTGCGCAGGCATGGGGCCGCATCGCCTCATTCCGCCCCCTCCGCAGCTCTGGGAAGTGGGGACGAACGTGCGTGCCTGTCACTGCCTCAGAAGCCGAGGCTCTCAGAAGTTACATGCTGCTCCTCGAACTGCAGCCAGGACTGGTGAGGCAGGGTTCGAGTCCAGTCTGGCCTCAGCTGTGTCCTCAATGACACGCCCCCGCCCCCCTTAACCTATGTAACTGTGAGGCACAGGCCGAGCGAGCACCGCTAGTGGCCTCCGTGCAAGCCTTCCACGCTCGTCCGTGCAACGTCGGCCGCCATACCCTGTGCTCTTGGAGGTTCGGGAGCCGTCTTCTTTTTCTTCCACGGTGGAGTTCCTGAACCTTGAGGGTCTCCTATAAGGAAAAGAAGTGTCAGTGAGGTTAATTTGTCTCCTATTCTCAATTTTAGTATTTGGACATATTTTGGATGACAAAAACTAGAGTCCACCCTGGCCAGGTGGCTCAATTGGTTAGAGCGTTGTCCCGACATGTTGGGGTTGCGGTTCGATCCCTGGTCAGGGCACATAAAGACTCAACCAGTGAGTGCACAGATGGGTGGAGAAACAAGCTGATGCTTTTCTCTCTGTAAAATTAAATAAAAAATAAACCCAAACCAACAACGAACTAGACCCTTGACTGACCAAGCACCGGGAGAAAGGAGGACCCTCTGGCCTCCCTGGTCAGAATGGAGGTCACTTCCAGTCCACCTGACACGCGTGGGGGCTGGCGCTCAACGCCGAAGCGTGTGAACAGAGATGCTGTTTTCCAGGCGTGGGCTCACAGAGCCACAGGCTCTGTACAAATGACTAAGCTGCTTTAACTGAACGATAGAAAAAACAGTTTTCTCACTAAGAACATTATCAGGTCCACATTAAACATGGAATTCAGAAAGCACCACTTTGTGAGTCTGGAAATATGGGCCTTTTCGTGGCAGGGTCACATCCGCACACGACACGTTCCTGAAGCACGGAACTAACACTCACTGTCTGCCTGCTGCCCCAGCTTCTCCAGCTGTTTACACAGTCGGTCAAATATGGCTTTTTTCACACCGGATGTGGCTACCATTTTATTTTTATCCACCTTTAGCTTCAAGATCCTACAAAAGAATTTGATAAATTAGCTCTTAAGACCCTTGCAAAAATTTTTTTAATGGAATATCACAAGTGCCCACTGTTGGAATGACAGACTTCACCAGTTACAAGAGGTACACCTCGAAAGGGGAACTCTCAGGTTGTACATGTGACTGCCACGTGGCAAGTGGCCTTCTGGGAACACTGCTTTCCAGGTGTCAGTTGCTTTGTGGGACAAACCGAGCCTGGAAACTGGGCCATTATTCCTAGTGTTGTTCACACGGAGAAGCAGGCCAAGCTGCAACCAATCAGACTGGAAGTGTGACCCGGGGGTGAGAACTGCACCCCAAGGGCGGCCTCCTGAGCGCGTGCAGACCCTCACCTGCAGGCCGTGAGCAGCGCGGCGGCTGTGAAGAGTGGCCTGGATAAGTCGAGATCTGCCTGCTGTGTCTGGGGGAGGCTGGACTCGTAGCTGCGGGAAGGCAGTATCGGCAGAATAACTTGTTAGAAAACAGCATCTCGCAGGGATGGATAACGCAAACCAGAACTTAAAAATGCATGAGATATGCGTCCTATCACTTGAGCGCACTGGTTATTTTTTAACGCTGAAAATCAGCAGGACGCTGGCCAATGTTAGCAACACTTCAGCGAAGGCCCTCGGGCCTCATACCTGTGCAGCACTCGTGAAGCCAGGCTCACCGCGTCTGTACAGCCAAACCGCACCGCGAGGTCTCCTATTCCAACGCTCGAATCCAGGCCCAGTAAGCACTCAAAAGATTTCAGACAGCTCTGATACGTCTTCTTGTTCAAACCAGAAAGTTTAGTTAAATATGCCTTTGAAAGGAAACACAGGCACAAATCGTAAGTTCTGTTAGTGCCTGCACCCCTCCAAGCTGATTCTGTGACCCGTCTCTGCCTAGAGGCTTAGCTCCGTGTGGTCCACGGCCCGCATGCACACACACTCATGCACGCACACAGACACTTTACACACACACTGCTGCTGCAGCCCTAGTGCCCACGTGCAATTCCCTCGGAGGAGGGGAGGGGAGGGGGGGGGGTGGGACAGGGAGGAAAGAGGGAAACCAGGAGAGAAACGGAGGGTCAACGATGGAGAAAAACCAGCTCTGGACAGTCATACAGGAGGGGGCAGGGCTGTCCAAGTCAGATGAGAGCCCCTGTTCCCCCACCTCCAGGCTGAGGAAGGGCTTGGCCACATGGACAAGCCCCAAGTCAGTCGTTCAAGCGCAGTGTCTGCTGAGGGAGCTGTGCAGGTTGAGGTTGGTGTTCAGGAGAAGCTGGTGAGTTTGCCACCCACTTTGAGCCACGGGGGTTGCTAATGCCCCCATGTAATGAGTGTGTCGTTTTGTGATCGGTATGGTGTTAAGTAAGCGCCACACAGTGCTCCGTTCAATCCTCGCAGTGACCCAGAGGATTTGAAGACATTCCTATTCCTGCCTCACACAGAGGAACCTGGAGGCTCACAGGGCTAGTGTAAGATCAAGTCTCAATGTGTGATGCCCGTGTCCTTAGCCTGTGCCCTCAAGCTCTGTGACACTGAAGGAGAAACACACATGGGTTTCAACGTGTGGGCTTCAGGAGGCGGCCTGGGAAATGAGATCGTAAAGAGTATAGGGAACGCTGCAAAACATTTTTCCCCTCCAACTTGACAAAATGGCTTTAAAGTTCACCTGGAGTGATAACAGGCAGGAAATTTCTGAACCACCAGAGCATAGACCGGGCCTAGTCTAACCAGAAACCGATGTCTGGTCACTGAGACCCGGGGACGCTTACCCTGTCCAGGGGGCACTGCGTGCAGGCCGCCGCCAGGTCCAGACACACGGCCGCTAGGCTGGTCTCCGTGGTGCGTGCAGACAGCCCCGCGCACTTCACGCGTGCCAGCCGCAAGTACTCCTCCGCTTTCCTGGTCACAAAAGCAATGTGGTCACTAGAGCCTTTCCCAGAAGTCTGTCCCACACTTGGGCAAACTGAACCCAGCGGGCGGGCCTGACTCTGAGTCCTGGGCAACTTCCCGTGAGGCTGCGGAGGAAGGCCCCATCCTCTGGGGAGCGGCCGCGGCTCCGGACCCCACTGCGTTCAAGAACTACTTCCAGGCAAAGGAGGTTCTTCGATTCCTCCCCAGACAACCGTTCTTCCCCACATTCCGGGAACCAGCGTGAAAGCCTGCGGAGGCTGGCAGGTCGTGCCAGGGCTCCTCCTTTTTGCCTTTAATTCAGTGGTGCTCAAACTTTAATGCGCCGGACAATCAATCACTCGCGGCGCGTGAAAACAGCGCTAGGTCTCACCCCCAGCCTTTCCTAGCAGTGGGCGTGGGGCGGGACCGAAAACGTGTTTTCCCAACAAGGGTCGAGATGACACGGACGCCGCCGGGCAGGAGACCCACTTGAGAACCGCAGCTCTACATGGTAACCCAGCCCAAGCGGCCTCAGTTCAAATCTTCTAAGAAGCGCGCCTGCCCTTCCCTTCCCTTCTGTAACGGGCTGCCCAGGGCCCGGCCTGCTGCCCGCGTTCGCACGGCTTCACTCTGGACCCCGGATCATGCACGCTCCTCCCCATCCCGACGCGTTGGCACAGGCTGTTGTTACTGTGCTCAGGCCGCTCTCCCGGCATCGTTCCAAGGCGGGCCCCTTCTATCAAGTCAGGTCTCAGCGCAAATGACAACCCCCCCCCATACTTTTTGCAGGCCAGGCCGCGCTGTGTCCCTGTCCTTTCAGTCACCACTGTTCTGTTTTCTACGTAGTTCTGGCCAACACAGAGACCTCCGTGGGGCCTGTCTCCCATCTGTCTGCTTCCCTCCACAGCTGGCCCCTGCCACTCCCTAGGAGACCGCTGCCGGCTACATACCGCACGAGAGATGCGCGGCTCTCGGGCCCAGGACCGCTGCGGCATGCGCGGCCCGACTCACCTCAGTACATTGGGCTCGGCGATGCCCAAGCGCCGGGCTAAACACGGGACCAGCCCCGACTCCATGGCGCCAGGAAGACTGAGCGCACTGCGGCGCAGCTACAAAATGCGCGCGCAGACGCTGCGCCCGCCAGTGACGGACGGGCCCCACCCCTCTGCTGCTCCGGGATTGGTTTGGATGGAAACGTGAGGCCGCCCCGCATGCCAATCAGATGCTCCCCTCTGCGCATGCGCACTCGAGTGCACGCACCACTAGGAACGTGGAAAAGTGGTTCTCCTCCAGTCCTCAGTTCTTCACCAACTCGCTAAACCGCTGCCTTTCCCATTTGCTAGCTCCTTCCTGTCTCCGAGCGAGTCCCCACTCCTCAGCACCGCCCCGCCCTCTCTCACTCTGTGGAGAGACTGGTTGGCGCCTCGGTCGGTCTGGCCAGAGTTCAGGGCAAGAGCCAATAAATACGCGAGACTTGAGTTCCTAGAAGCGGGCCAATGGAGGAGCCGCCTGCGGACACGAAGGCGGGGCTATAGAGGGCGGGGCTTCGAGGGGCCGTCGCGTCACCTGACCGCGGGAGGCTCCGCGCGCGGATGGTGCTGATTGCTGCAGGTCCAAGGGAGTCGCCATGGTGAGTGCGGAGGGCCGCCGGGCCCCGGGCGGACTCTTCTCCCCCAGCCCCTGCTCTCTCTCACCGTCTTGGAGCCCTGCGGACAGAGTTGGGGCCCCGTCGCCCGGTTTCAGTTCAGACCCGCCCGACTTGGCCTGCAGGGTGCGGGACAGGCCCAGGAAGGCCGCAGGCCGGCCGATCCGAGCGGGGGTGGGCGGTGGCTCCTGGCCGCAGCCGTGGCTCTGAAACCGGCGGCCGTTCCCAGGGGGAGTCTCGGCCTGCAGGCGCCTCTGAATGCAGTCGGCCCCCGTCCCGCTGCGCCCTGAGCCCGAGTGCCGGCTCTGAGCCCGAGTGTCGGGTCTGAGCGTCGGGCTGGGTCGGGGGCTTGCGGAGGGCCCTAGGCTCCGAGGTGGCATCGGGACTCTGCGGGCATCCCGCCTGTATGCCTGGTAGTGTCTGTGGGCCCCATCCCTCTCTTGTGCGAGGAATACCGAGCGGAGGGGCCGTCACGGTGCCCCTGGCTTTCTCGGCCTCGTCGCTCCCTTGACTACATTGCTTTTCAGCGATTTCTAGGGACTCACTTACGTGAATTTCCTGGAAGGTCTCGTGCTATCTGATAGCTAGTGACATCTGGTCACTGGGCACCTTGGCTCTCCTATTGGCCTCCCCATTGACAAAATGCAAGTATTCCACTTGCTGGAAGCAGGCGCTCTCAGCGTCTCCGTGGCGGCAGCAGCAAAGCGTAGCGTGGCTTGGCTGTTGGCCGGTAAACTGGAACTTGCTCAAAACGGGAACCCTTGTGCCTGGTTCCCACAAAGGCAAGTTGCCACTTGCATTTTATTGGCGTTTCACTGTACTGCACCGTCTGAAGGATGCGCGGGCGCACTGCGTGTCGGCGTTAATGCCGTCACTTCACTCTGAAGACTGGCTTGGGGAAGCGGGCTGCCCTTTAAATGCATTAATGCCAGGAAGCAGGATTCCATGTTTGACATTCCATGCTTCTCGTAGGAAGCAGGATTACTGCTTTCCTACGAGATGTTTCTATACAAGGTGCTTGTGATTATTTCTCAGAATTTTTGCAGCTGGTAGTTACTGTAAGAACAGTGCAAAAATTTCACCAGGATTTGTGTGTTTATCAATGTTTAGGGCTTGACAAATGAAAGGCTGTGCTAGAGGATCTCCTGTACCCCAGATCTGGGCTGGGAACCGCTGAGAACAGTGAGCCAGACGCACAGGCCTGCCCTCGGGAGTTTCACGGGGAAGGAAGGTTTGAGCGTGGGCCTGTCGCAGTCACTGTTTCTGCCTCGGGCCACTCAGCCTTCTTTGAGTCTCACCTTTGCATTGACAACCAGTGCTGTCCTCTGGCCCTTCCCAGACCTAAAATTCTAGGATCCAGCGTGTGGGTGCCTTGTATGTGGCCCTGGAAACGACAGGCCTTGCTCCCAGGGAGCTCAGGCGTCTAGAGCCGAGGATGTGGGGGCGGAACTCCACGCAGTACAGTCTGAGGATCACTGCAGCAGCACCGTCAGGTCTGAGGTGGGGTCATGGTGTGGAAGGGACAGTTCTGCCTGGGAGCCTGAGACAGACTGCAGGGAATTTAGTGATAACCTGGGACCCGGGTCAGCAGCAGGCTGAGCAGCGTTGCTCCAAGTGGAGGAGAAAGGGCATCGCGGCAGGTAAAGCTGGGGAAGTGAGTGCTCTGGTGTGTGGGTCATCGTGGGTCCTGTGGAAACGAAGGTGGACCCAGCCAGGCACTCATACCACGTCCCCTCACCATCCTCAGTTCCCGACTTCAGTGGTGGTTTGTGCCTTATGGTATTTTCAGTGGCACTTTCCTTAGCATGATGACATTCTGTCTCTGTGTAAGTGGGGATCCTCTCTCCTGGCGGTTGATCAGGGTTGTGCACTTGGGTCCCTTCTGCAGCACGTGAGGGGGCAGCTGGACCACAGGATGAGTGGGGGCCGGATCCGTGGGGCATCTGGTAATGATGGTGGCACTCGGACGTGCTCACTGCTGGGGGCTGAGCAAGTCTGGAGCTCGCCTCTCGTTTCGTTCTCTTGTTCCCAAAGGTGATGTGAGTGGTTCTGTTTCCCTGGTTGACGGAAGAGGAAATGACAGGGAGGGTAGTTTCATAATCGAGGAGTTCATGGTGACCTTTGCTTTCTCTAGAATTGTGTAGACTTGGGAGGGCTGTTTGGCTTGGGTGTCGAGCTAAAATGGGCCTCAGTCACCAGTGCTGATTTGGTCTTCATTCTGTAGTGTTTCCGTTTTCCTCTGATGCACAGAGATGCTGAGTGCAGAGTCCTTTGCAGAAGCCCGTTTGTGAGTGAGGAGACAGTGGTTACGGGTGTGTTTTGATGAGGATGTGTGTGCGTTACAAGCGTCCTGCTCTCTGCAGCATTGTCACCGGGGCACTCTGTAGAAACTATTAAAGCTTTACTGCATGTGTAGCCTGCCTTGTAGTAAGTCGGTAATTTTTAAGCCGAGTTGATGCAGAGTAGAAAAATTTTGCTAGAATTTGTTTGTAGATCACTGAATCTAGTTAGTTCTGCACGAATTTTTTGGAACTATTGGTAACCTCTCTATAACCCCAGTTTTACTTGCTATAGAAAGATGATAACTGTACACAACAGCCCAAAGGTGGAAGCGACCCACGCGTCCATCCCCGGGTGAATGGATGAACTGAGCGTGGTCTGTTCCTGCCAAGGAGTGTTTACTGCGCAGCCTTAATGAAGCCCGGAACTTGATGAAGCCCACAGATCCCAATAATTAAGTCTGTTGTATCCAGAGGTACCCAGTGCCCCCAAAACAAAACCCAACCACAGCTGGTCTCACTGGGGCTCTCGGAGACCTAGTTTGGGAAGAAGAGGGAGTTTCATCAAGGTGGCCCTCGTGTGCTGGTGCAGCCTCGCCAGCTGGTGCAGCTGGGCCTGCCACTTCACACCCAGAGTCCGCTGCGTGCGTTCGCTGTCTCTGTTAGTTTGGTTTAGAAGACATGTTTTTTTCTCTGAAACGTGTTAACTTCTGCAGAGTGTTGGGTAGGGAAGCGCCTTGTACCAGAGTTTGCCTCAGGAAAGAGTGAAGAGACGCCTGGCGTGGCTTACTGTTCGGTTCACTTGTTTCTCTTTCCAAGTTTAGGCCAAGAAAGTTTTCCATTTTTGTGAATGATTCTAGTTCAGAAGGGAGTTTGTGGAGTTTCTGTTCATGTCAAAATCAAGGGTTGCTTTGATCGCCTTCCGTGATGGAACAGACAGGATTCAGCTTCCATCTTCATTCACGAGTCCTCGCCTCCTGCTCCTCCCACTGGTTGTGTGAAGGGGCTCATTCTGTCTGTGGCCATTTCTTTATGGAGGTGAAACTCTCGTAACCTCGGTCAGCCATGTAAAGAGCACAGTTCGGTGGCCTTCGGTGCACCATGTCACGCAGCAACCGCTGCTGCCTGGTTCCAGAGCGACGGCGTCACCCCAGAAGGAACCCTGCGGCAACTAGAACACGGTGCGCTCTGTGCAGGGTATGAACGCAGCGTCAGTTCTGCGGGCGGGTAGATCCGACTGGTTTTGTGAGTAGGTTCTCGCTGATGGCAAAGCGCATCTGGATGCACGAGGTGGAGCGACAGTTCACGGCTGTTTTTTTTGTGTCATTATTGTGTAATCGTCCACACACACAAGTGTGAACAACTGTACTTTGTCCATTACAACCGTGCACTCTGTATTTGAAACACTCCCCTGGGCGAGGGCGAGCACTTGGTGGAGCTCTGTGACGAGTCAGCAGCGGCGCTTCTGGCTGTCCCAGCTCCACGCTGGCTGGCCACGTGTGGCTTGAGGGGGTCCACGTTCCAGAAGCTGGCCCCAGGTCTAGGAGCAGAGGACAATGCGGACGGAAAGTCGTCTACAGGAAAAGATGGTTTTGGGGGGGGGCGGCGCAGCGGGTGCTGTGCACTTTCGCAAGAGGTAGGTGGGCTGATGGCTCTGCTTTGCATGGGCTCGGGAGTGTTCGCACAGCCGAGGCGCCATCAGCTACCCCGTTCCCCCCAGTCTGTGAGGCTGATCTGTTGGGAGACTGCTCGGCCAGCTCCTGGGAGGAAGTCCGTTCTCCGCACGTGTTACTGCTGTCCTCCCTCAGCGCGTGCTGGCGTGGGGGGGGGCCTCGCCATGCTTTCGGCAGTTGTCACCAGGGATCTGCAGGTCGCGGCGCACGGCACGAGCCTTGTGGGAGCGCCTCGGGAAGGACGGGCTGACAGAGCGGAGTTGCGAGCAGAGAGGCCCGCTGCGCTGGTTCAGGAGTGTTTCCAATTTTCCAGCCCACGACCCAGCAGTCACCTCAGGACGAGCAGGAGAAGCTCCTGGATGAAGCGATCCAGGCTGTGAAGGTGCAGTCGTTCCAGATGAAGAGATGCCTGGTGAGAGCCGTGGCGGGCGAGGGGGGGCGGCGTGGGCGGCAGGGCCCGTGTACCTTCTGTTGGGGTCGGTCCGCTTTTTTCTATCTTGAAGGCTTTTTTTCTGTCCTGAATAGATATATGTGTATACTTTGTGAACACTAGCTTGAAAGTTGTACTTGCACCTATTTATTTATTTACTTATTTATTTAAGGTTTTTATTTATTTATCTTTAGAGGGAAAGGGAAGGAGAGAGGGAGAGAAATATCAATGTGTGGTTGCCTCTCATGCGTCCCCTGCAGGGAACTGGCCTGCAACCCAGGCGTGTGCCCTGACTGGGAATCGAACAGTGATCCTCTGGTTCACAGGCCTGTGCTCAATCCACTGAGCTGCACCAGCCAGGGCTATACTTGCAGCTATTTATTTATTTTCAAACTCTAAACCCATTTTAGACAGGGTAAGAGAGAACCTGTGTAGAAACCAGATTCTCTGGACTACAGTTAAAGGAGTGGAACCACGTAGGCTGGTACTTGAAGTCACAAGCTGCTGTGGCGATGACAACTGTCTCTCGCTGTGTCTTAGTTTCTAAGGTTTAGTGACGTGCTCCTTTAACCAAGTCCATCATCGGTTGCCTTGGTTTTCTTGCACGAAGTCAGCACAAAAGAAGAAAGTCTCCGCACAGAGACTGTGGGAGGGCGAGCACCCGCTGTCGCTTGCATCTGTCCTCCCGTGTGTAAACAGTGTTTCCTGTGGTTAAAGGAGCTGCTGCCCCAGACACCTGAGGGGTGCAGCCTGTGGCAAAGCCACTGTGAGGACAGCGTGTTGCTTCAAGAGTCAGCACGCCAGCTGGTTGTGGGAGAACGTGAACCGTCCGCGGGGTCGCACGGTTGTGCAGGACCGGTGCCTGCTGGGATGCTCGAGGTTCCGGACACGTGAGACGCGCCGAGCTCCGCACGCTGGTGGCGGGGGCTCCTGTGCCCTGTTCTTTTCAGGAGAGAGAGGCAGGGTGACAAAGCTGGGTTTTGTGGGACTGAAGTGCGGGTGTTGTGCCCTGTTAAACTGTGTAACGAACACCCGATGGTGAGAGCCGGATGACGGGGGGAAGTGCTGTTTCGGGAAAGCGTCTCATCAGCCCTGCCGGTGCCTCCGCAGGACAAGAGCAAGCTCATGGACGCCCTGAAGCACGCCTCGAACATGCTCGGAGAGCTCCGGACTTCCATGCTGTCGCCGAAGAGCTACTACGAGCTCTGTATCTTTTGAACGTTGGGGAAGGGCCGTTTGGGCTGCGTGTCGTTCCTGATAAGGCCATGTTTCGGCTGTTGCTTATTAAGTCTTTCTGGGGCGCATCACACTCTTCTTCGTCCTAGCGGTCGGCACCCCTTTTCCGTGCACGGGCGCTGAGTGACAAGGAGAACTGGGCATGAGAGGCCCTTCCCTGCGCCTTCCTCCCTCCCCGTGGGTTTGTGCTGTGCCTCAGTGTGCGGACCCTTTGTGCAGCTGGGAGGCGGCTGGTTCTCGAATGCTGCGGTTCTGTCACTCAGGACCCCGAAAGGGACAGGCCTTCCTCGGTCTGACAGGCAGGCGGTCCTCGTTTTGCCACTCTGCCTCACCAGACCTCTTCGAAACCCTGACTTTAATGTAGGGCGGGCCGCCGGACTCCCGCCTTCACTCACACGGTCCGGTAGGGGGCCGGCGAGGACCGTCTCTGCCCAGTAGTTGAATGCCCGCGCCAGGTTCCCAGTCCCCGCGTGGCTGAGCCGTGTTTGAGCCCTTAATCGGAACGGGAAGACATGGCCATCTCTGACGAGCTGCACTACCTGGAGGTCTACCTGACGGACGAGTTCGCCAAAGGACGGAAGGTGGCCGACCTGTACGAGCTGGTGCAGTACGCGGGCAACATCATCCCCCGGCTGTAAGTTGCCCTCGCTCCCACTCTGTGTGGCAGCCGCTGAAATCGGCGGCGGCCTTCTTAGAGACAATTTTAAGGCTACTCCATCTCTTAAGTGTGATTAACATTTTGTAGATAGTGACTTTTTAAGAGTTTTAGAGTATAACTGATTTTACTGCTAATGTAGATTGAGGAATTTAGGAAATAGAAAGACACGGATACATTTTGTTGGATGTCTTGGCGAGGAGGGTGAATGGCACAGCCTCTCCCTAATGTGTTCGAAGGCGAGGAGCGTGTGTGCGTGTTTGTGTGGCTGTGTGTTGGTCGGGTGTCTGGGTTGTGCTTCAGGTGAGAGGATGTTTTGCAGTCGTGCGGGAGGAAGCCAGGCCCCGTCTTGTGGATTTCACATGCTCGCATTCAGTGTGTTCGGGCAGATCGGACTCTCGACCTGACCGTTCTCTTCCCACCCGGCCCTTCCCCGGGACCCCCCCAGGTACCTGCTGATCACGGTCGGAGTGGTGTACGTCAGGTCGTTCCCGCAGTCCCGGAAGGACATCCTGAAGGACCTGGTGGAGATGTGTCGTGGTGTGCAGCACCCCCTGCGGGGCCTCTTCCTCCGCAACTACCTCCTCCAGTGCACCCGCAACATCCTGCCTGACGAAGGGGAGCCTGCCGAGTAAGCGCGCCCCCCTTTTCCTTCCTTCCTTCCTTAGGATTTTATTTATGTTTGGGGGGTGGAGAAAGAGGGGGAGAGAAACGTCAGTGTGTGGTTGCCTGTCAGGCACCGCCCACTGGGAACCTGGCCCACAACCCAGGGCTGTGCCCTGGCTGGGAATCGAACCTGTGACCTTTTAGTTCACAGGCCGGCGCTCAGTCCACTGAGCACCTCTCTTTCTTTGTTTGGTTGCACTGTGTCTTTGTTGCGGAATATCTGGAAAGTACAGAGAGCGCACAGAGAATGTGGGCGTCCGTGGTTGTGCGCAGTCGGCTGCTGGCAGTGTTGGTGCTCAGGTTCCCATTGTCGGGGGTGCCCCTAGTGTCTGCGGTGCCATGTGCAGCGGCACCAACCGCCCCCCCCCTTAAAAACGACCTCAGTGGTGTCAGCCTGCTTTTCTCCTTTAACGTAACGCGGGGGCGTGTTCCCGACACTAAGTAGTCTTCGAACCCGTGAGGTAATGGTGTGTGCTTAACTTTTTCCATGAGCGATCCAGGTTTTAGACTGTCTTTTGAACATCTCTCAGTTTTTATAATCTGTGGACTGACTGCCCGCTGCCCTAGAGTGTAAGTGATTTTAATTACCTGTGCACACAAGTTAGATGTCAGCTCCAAGTAGAAAAAGCGGAAGCCTGGAGAGGAGAGAGCTGCCTCCTGGGCGAGCGGGCTTCCGGCCCCCGAGGCCCCTGCGCTCCCACCCCCACGGGTGGTGGCCGTGGGCACCGGCTAACGACGTCCTGTGCGTGGGACAGGCTCCCTACACAAAAGAACTGAATTCCTTTCTTTAAAGTTCATTTGTTCATTTATTTCTAAGACACAATGCAGGAGGGTTTAGTATATCTCTATCAACTCCTATTTAGAAGAAAAATACACATTTTTAACATGCATATGCCAAATGTGAAAATGGCCTAGAAAAGATAAAAATTTCAGTGTGGAGAACCGTGGGAGGTTATTTGCTTTATTATGACTTGACTCCCAGTTTCGAGCATTTAATTAGGCAATTAGTGAAACAATTGGGAAAACTGCCAAGCCCCCCATTTTAGGGGTGTGCAAATAAGCAGGACATACATGATCTCGCCCTCCTTCACGCGCTTGTGCTCCCCAGAAAGCATTGCACACTTAGCAGTGGGGCGACGGTGTCACCAGTGTGTCACGTCTGGTGTCTCAGGGTGTTTGAATTGATGTAGTTGTCATAACAGGTCTGGCTGGCGCAGGGCAGGGAGCAAGGAGAGGGCTTTGTCCCTGCAGACTGGCACTGTGTCCTTGCCCTGTGCTTCCCCCTCGAGGTCGCTCCCCTTGACCGCTGACCGGGAAGCTGCGGCCGCCCTCCCTGACCACTGGTGCGCAGGGAGGCGGGGAGGGAGCACCGGCCGAGAGGGGTCTGTCCTGGGGCATCGGTGGTGGGAGCACTCCTCTGCTGTGTCTGTGTCTGCGCAGTGAGGAGACAACCGGCGACATCAGCGACTCCATGGACTTCGTGCTGCTCAACTTCGCCGAGATGAACAAGCTGTGGGTGCGGATGCAGCACCAGGGCCATAGCCGGGACCGTGAGAAGCGGGAGCGCGAGCGGCAGGAGCTGAGGATCCTGGTGGGCACAAACCTAGTGCGCCTCAGCCAGCTGGAGGGCGTCAACGTGGAGCGCTACAAGCAGGTGTCTGTCCCCACTTGTCCCCTCTCAGGTCACGAAGTCCAGTTTTTAGGTCAAAATATTTTTGTTAAATGATACCACGTTGCAAAGCATTGACAAGGAAGAGTTAAATAAACTGGAAGATACGCTTTGAGCTTTTGCCTGTGGAGTGCAGGGTTGAATAGTGCCGATTTCCTTTTAAATTCCGACGCACTGCACTTTGCTGTGGATTTTCTCTAGAGCCGCGTATGGTGACATGGTGGTGAAGGGGGTGAACTCATGAATCAGTGGGGGATAGTAAAGCAGGGTCGACAGGCTGTTTTTGTAACGGGCCGAGTAGCAACTACTTTTTGCTTGTGCAAGTTGTGTGGTCTGTGCGTGCCTCACCCTGCAGGTGTGTGCCGCAGTCGGGCCGGAGCGGACCCGCGTGCAGGACGCACAGTCAGCTCTTTATGAAGGCGCATGGCGACCTTTTCAACAGAGGGCTCTGGAGTGTCCGGACATCTTTGTGCAGCCCCACTCCTTGCGCCCTCCGCTGTGGCCCGCCCCACGCCCCGTAAAGCAACTCAGCCGTGGGGCAGAGCCCTAAATCTCAAGTCTAGGACCAGGGAAACTTCTAGAAGAAAGTGCAAAGGAATGCTCTGTGACCTTGGATTTGACGGAGATTTCTGAGGATGCCAAGAGCACAAACCACGAAGATAAAAAGTTAATAAGATAAATTAGTGAATGACTTTGTACTGAATAGAAACAGAGGACTTTTTATTTAAAATGCTTCTGTAAAATTCTAAACTTTAATCTAGAAATGAAGTGTGGGGAGAAAAATCTAGAAGTGGATTTGCAAATTAACGGCCGCCTGGCGCCACCCGAGGGTGGGCCAGGTGCCCGCACAGCCGCTGAGCCCCCTCTCCCCGCAGATCGTCCTGACGGGCATCCTGGAGCAGGTGGTCAACTGCAGGGACGCCCTGGCGCAGGAGTACCTCATGGAGTGCATCATTCAGGTGGGCGGCCCGCCCCTGGGGCTTAAGCAGCCCGTTTGACGCTTCGTCACTTCCCATAGTTTTGAAAAAGGATCTTGCTGGGGTAGAAGATAAGCTTCCCCGAGTGAAGAGGGCCTTTCTCCTGCGAGTATCGAGGGCTCTGCCCCCCCCACCCCCTGGTGTTGGGAAGCGCAGGCCCCACGTTTTCTGGGTCCTCTCGGTTTTAGCTCCCTGTGGGTGTGCTGCGGTTAGTGGGGTGTTTCTTCCTGGTCTTGTGCTTAGAGAGGCATAACAGTTACGTGTTTTAACTTAGTTCTGGGAGATCGAAGTGACTCCCCGCACATAAGGACCGTAAGGGAGTCCAGAATCCAAGGTCAGGTGCCTGCCTTCAGCAGTGGGTTCCGCTTGGCCGTGCAGGTGTTCCCGGACGAGTTCCACCTGCAGACTCTGAACCCCTTCCTGCGGGCCTGCGCAGAGCTCCACCAGAACGTGAACGTGAAGAACATCATCATCGCCCTCATCGACAGGTGGGTTGTGGATTTCGTGTTTTTGATGCGTCTTGATTGCGTTGACGACGTTAATTACACCATTGCAGTGGTGTCGTTACCCCGTTCAGCTCTGCGAGCGTCGGTGTCTGCTCAGTGCTTGCCTCACTCGGCCAGGAGAGGGTCAGCGCTCAGTTGTGGGGGTGCGGGGGCAGCGACTACTTTTCAGCTGCATTTCATTATCATTTAAAGATGCTGTTATGCAGTCCCATCATTTAAATCTTGCAAATCCAGAGATCACAAAGGAACAAAGTTTGTTCCTTATCTGGAGGAAAGGAACCCTTCCGTGGGCACCCATTGGGTTGGGAGCCTCCGTTATCCCACAGCCATGACACAGGTGATTCAGGATGTTCAGCAATCACTCTGTCCTCACTTGTTCTTAAATCCTCACCCAAGGACGTGTTTATTGATTTTAGAGAGTAAGAGACAGCGATTGGTTGCTTCCCATACCTGCCCCGACTGGGGATTGAACCTGCAGCCTTCTGGTGCTTGGGATGATGCTCCAAGCAACCGAGCCCCTAGGCCAAGGCCATCACAGTTTTGTTTTTTTAAGGACAGTTTTAAAGTATTGGTATGTTAGTAAATCCCCTTCAGGTTTAAGGTTCACTTCTGTGGCCCTGCTCTTGTGAAAGGGTAAAACTTGCCCGGCCTGGTGTGGCTCAGCTGTCCTTCAAAGCGAAAGGTCGCTGGTTCGGTTCCCAGTCAGGGCACGTGCCTGGGCTGTGGATTTGGTCCCTGGTGGGGAGTGTACAAGAGGCAGCTGGTCGACGTTTCTCTTGCATCGATGTTCCTTTTTCTCTATATCTCCCTCCCTTCCCCTCTCTTTAAAAATGGATACGTAAATTGAACAAAAACTGTAAAACTTGGCCCTTGACTGTGGCTTTCATACGTGTCTGGCTGAGAGCTGTACCCGGCGCTGGTCCAGGACCTGCGACCAGCCCGTGACGGGAACCAGCAGCCTGGCGAGGGCTCGGTTCCTCAAGCACTGCCTTCCCGGTGCCTTGTCCTCAGTGCCCGAGGCCCAGCTGTGGCGTCTGGGAGTTGGCAGAGCCGCGTGCTCCGTGCCGCCGGCTCCGCCCGGGGCGTTAAGAATTATGTGTTGCTGGGCATACGGTTAGCGGCTGCTGAGGACAGGGCTGTCCTGGGTCGGGCAGGGTGACGTTTCTTAGGTGTCCCTGTGAGCAGTGATGCTGCGGAGCGGTGTGACCGGGACGGCTGATCGTGGTCGGTTCCGCACGTGGGAAGTGGAAGTTTCAGGCTCGGCAGCAGCGAAAGCCCAGTGACTCGGCGGCCGTGCTGCCCTTGGAAGGGCGTGGCTTGAGAGTCGTGGCCGCTGAGCGTCTGTCACTGCGGCGCAGTTCCGTCCACGCCGCTTGGTCGGGTTCGGAGAAGCTGGCACAGCCGGCCTGTTGGAAACCTGTTTCCGTGCGGTGTCGGGTGTGGTGAGAGCAGTGAGGTGAGGCGGCGCTGGCCCACTGCTTAGGTGGCAGCGGGTTGAGGGAGTGACTGGCTACGTGCGTGTCCTTTTAAAGACCTTCGTGTAATGTCCTGGAGGAAATCCACTCGCAAAAAACACAGGGAAGCGTAGACAATGAAACGTCACCTGCGATCCCATTACCCAGATCCTCATATCTCTTACAGTGAGGCTTTTTTTTTTCAGATTAGCTCTGTTTGCTCACCGAGAAGACGGACCCGGAATCCCAGCGGATATTAAGCTCTTTGATATATTTTCACAGCAGGTGGCCACAGTAATACAGGTGGGTGTGGCTTTCCTTCGAGTTCTCAGAACCGGGACCCCTCGGCCGGTGGGCCCTTTAGGGACTGTCTGCAGCCCCCCTGAAATCAACTCCGCCTCCTGCCCCCCCAGTCCAGACAAGACATGCCCTCGGAGGACGTCGTGTCCCTGCAGGTCTCCCTCATCAACCTCGCCATGAAGTGCTACCCCGAGCGCGTGGACTACGTGGACAAAGTTTTGGAGACGACAGTGGACATATTTAACAAGCTCAACCTCGAACAGTGAGTCCGAGTCCCGTTTTTGTAAGAGCCCTCAGCGGGCCCGCTTCCGCCCTGTCTTCCTTTCCGCTTCCTTTTGGAGATACTCTAACATTCCTTCGATTGCCGTGTTTGGGCTGATCAGGGTGGGAAGTGGCGACAGAGATCCCTTGGGTGTGTGCGCCGTCTGAGTGGTGGCACTCGGGCCAGAAGCAGCACCGGGGACCTGTGTCTGATCGGGCCCCGTGTCTGTGTGGGTGAGTCCGTTTTTGAACTGGTGGGCTCGCTCTTTATGTCAAGCAGGATTTCTGGTAGAAGTGCTTTCCTACAGATGAGTAAGCTGCAAAAAATTAGGAGCACGTGTGTGTTCGTGGGGCAGAAGTGAGGTTGGTTTAACTGTTTCGTTTCGAGCTCTGGTCTTCGACGCGGCCCAGGCCCGCGGAGCTTCCTCGGCCGCCTGTGGTCTCCCGTCTGGTGGGCCTTCAGCTCCCCGGCTGCCTTCCGTGGTTTAGTGTGAGAGGGGGATTTCTTTTCCGTTCGCCTGTTTATTCCCCCATTTTTTGGTCTGTCCCGTTTGTGAACTGAAAAGAGTCTCAGATCTTGAATGGTGACAGCAGTGTGTCTGTATTTTCCTTACTGATTTTTGAAGTGAATTTGGACAAAGAGATAGAAGTCCCGACCCAGGTCCTTGTAACCAGCGGGTGCGGCTCAGCCCCGCAGACTCCCTGCCCCCCCGCCCTGCCCTTCCCAGGCTGCCGACATGTGAGGCGGGAGCGGCGGCCTGTGTTCCCCTGTGCTTTGGACATGCCTGTTCTGCGTGGCGTGTTCTTCCTGCGTGTTTTCATTGTGAGCACGCAGTGCTTGCTGGCTGCCCTGGGAACTGACTGCCTCCCGCAGTACTTCCCGAGAAGTGGCAGATGCCCCACAGTCACCTGAACTCCAGCCACATGATGCCGTCATCGTCACTGTGTGTCGTCCGACGATCGGGGTCTGGGGAGGAGGCCACTGGGTGTCGAGGGTGGCGTGGGACTCACTTGCTTCCTCTCGCGTGTGAACGAGTGTCGGGTTCTCAGGAGGCAGCGCCGCCCGCGTGCTTGGGGAGCGCGTGCCCCGCAGTGCAGGCTGCCCTTGCCCCCGCAGCATCGCCACCAGCAGCGCGGTGTCGAAGGAGCTCACGCGGCTCCTGAAGATCCCCGTGGACACCTACAGCAACGTCCTGACGGTGCTGAAGCTGAGGCACTTCCACCCGCTCTTTGAGTACTTTGACTACGAGTCCCGCAAGGGCATGAGCTGCTACGTGCTGGGCAACGCGCTGGACCACGGCACGGAGGTCGGCTCTCAGGACCAGGTGAGCGGGTCCCCAGCTGCAGCCGCGGGCACGGGTGGCGATTGCCGTGGTCGCACCACAGAGGAAGGGGCGCGGCGTCCCCGGTGTTCTGTCCACGGGGCCGTGCGCCCCGGCGGCTGCACTCACCGAGGTTTCCGTCTCCCGCGCTCCAGGTGGACTCCATCATGAACCTGGTGTCCACGCTGATTCAGGACCAGCCGGACCAGCCCGTGGAGGACCCTGACCCGGAGGACTTCGCCGACGAGCAGAGCCTCGTGGGCAGGTTCATCCACCTCCTCCGGTCCGAGGACCCCGACCAGCAGTACCTGGTATGGCCGTGCTCTCCTCCCCAGTGCCCCAGTGATGACGTGCCTGTCACAGCTCCAGTGCGTCGGTGCGGGCACACCACGCGTGGCCCGGGGTGGCTGCGGCCTCAGAGGGCTTGCAGCCGACTAAGAGGTGGAGTGGAATCCGTAGCCTTTTACTCCATTTGTAAGTTTAGTTACGTGCCATCTTCTGTAGCTTATGAGGAACAAGTCGGTTGCTACATTTTCTTTTTAAGACTTTGTAAGAATTACAGAAAAGCCAGTCTTCCTTTAGTGGGGTGTCTAGTAATCATTCCCCTTTCATGTTGTTTGAAGTGCATGTTGCTTTTTCTTTAAAGATTTTATTTAATTATTTTTAGAGAGAGGTAAGGGAAGGAGAAAGAAAAGGAGAGAAACATCAACGTGTGGTTGCCTCTCACTTGCCCCTTGCTGGGGACCTGGCCTGAAACCCAGGCACGTGCCCTGACTGGGAGTCCAACTGGTGACCCTTTGGTTCGCTGGCCGACTCTCAGTCCACTGAGCCGCGCCAGCCAGGGCTGTGTGTTGCTTTTAAAGCAGAGGCAACAGTCCTTACATTGAATTGCATTTATGTTTCCAAGGTTTGCGAGTGTAAGTTGTGTGCGAGTATAAATTGTGTGTGTGTGCATGCGCGTGCCACGGTGGAAGTGTGTGAAACTGCCTATTCCTCGACTCCCCTTTCCTGGGGAAGAACAGTTGGGTGTCCTCCCATTCTTCGGTCCTACGGGCATCTCTGGGAGTACTTATGTGAGGCTGGGTCCCGACTCTGCCGTTGCGTGACTTCCTTTGTCACAGCCAACAGTCTGCTCCTTTGTAACCTGTGTGACAAGGAAGCTGACCTCCGTTGGTGGGGTGAGAGCTGTGACCTGGCTGGTGACAGACACGCTGGCGTTGCCTGTGAGCCGTCCGTAGGGACCGCCTGGCCTCCCACACTTTTGGCTGGTTTCCTGTGTTCCCACATCACACACTCGTGCCGACTGTGTCTGGTTTCTCGTCACACTGGGGGGCCGGAGCTAGGAACGCGGCTGCCCGCTGTGGCCGGTGGGTCGTGTTCAGGCACAGAGGCCTGTAAGGCAGGGTCTTCGCTCTGACGTCCCAAGGGGGACGCATCCTCTTCTCCCCCGTCTTCCGTGTCGGAGGGACCCACAGACCTGAGTCTGTCCCACAGCATCGCACCGACTAAAAGGTGTTGCGTGAGTCCCTGCCACTGTCTGAGACACCCAGACCCCTGCCACAGCACGGCCAAAGGCCCTTACAGCGTGCCGCCATTTCCCTCGGCACACGTGGCCTGCTTTCTGGGTCGCAGGGCACGTGTCACTGCTTTCGACTCAGTGAGAGCAGACACTTCCGAGCACGTGCCTCGGGTCAGGTAACAGCAGCGCTTCACGCCTGGTGTTTGATCGTCCCCATGACCCTAGGGGAGATATCCTGCCCCATTTCCCCAACGGAGTAGCAGCTCAGAGAAGGGGAGTTTGCCCAGGGTCCACGTTGCGTGGGGGTGTCAGACCGACTCGTACAGGAAGTCTCTCTGGGGCTGGGGGCCAGCCCAGTGGACTGCACACGTGTGCAGGAAGATGTGCCAGCTGTGCTCCGCCCTGTGTCACCTTGGGCCGGTCGCACAGCCTCTCCAGCCTGGGCTCCTTGTTTTTGAGACGGGGCTTATCTTCATCTCAGGGTGACCTTCAGGGTGGTGGGGTGCCGGTCTGAGGCCAGAGAGGCCCATCACCTGCTGGGAGGGCTGCTGGCGACAAGAGGACCGGAGCCTCCAGGTAGTTCTGTAGGGACTAACCGCTGTTGGAAAAGACTAATGGTTCTCCGGTTTTCTTGGCCAGATTTTAAACACGGCACGGAAACACTTCGGAGCTGGCGGGAACCAGCGCATCCGCTTCACGCTGCCGCCCCTGGTGTTCGCGGCCTACCAGCTGGCCTTCCGCTACAAGCAGAGCTCCAGAGTGGTGGGTGTGCCCTTCCCGCGCCCCTCCCTCCGCGTGTGCGTCGTCGGGTGTGATGGCAGCGGGCTCACACGTACACCACCAGACACCGGTGCCCTGAGGTCCCTGTGTCTCCAGTCCTCAGCTCCCTGCCCCTCCTGTGCCCAGTGTCCTCACAAAGATGCGGTAGGGCACGTCCTGGTTGAGGGGTCCAGCCCGTGCCCACACTTAGAAACGGAACACTAAGTCAGTTTAAATTTATTCTCGAAGGTTCTGCTGTGTGCGAAGGTCACTTGTGAGAAGTTGTAAGTTCACAACACAGCTGGCTCAGTGCACAGGATGCACTCCCCAGATCCTGTCACCTGCGGGGCGAACGGAGTCAGCGCTGCCCGACAGGAGGGCTGGGCGTCACCCCTGTCCCCCTCACCCCCGTCAGGGCATTTTTCCAGGGTGTCATGGTGTCACTGTTTGTGAGCTCACTCCTTCACCAGCAGACGTGGAGCGAGGTCTCCACAGGGGTGGGTTTGTAGCTCACTCCTCGGTCGGGCGTGCCTGACAGCTGGACGGCCAGCTTCTCGCTACGCAGCAAACACGCCTCAGTGAGCTTAACTTTCCAGCAACGAGGAGACAGAACTATTAGTTCCTGACTGCTCCTCTCTGAAAAGTGGAGGAACGTGGATAAAATGTTCAACCTTACCCGTAAGCACAGCAGTGAAACTTCTTAGAATCACACTGGTAAAGAGAAAAAGTTGCAGTTCAGCCATGGCAGTGGCGCGATGAGCATGTTTGCGTCTGGTACTGATGGGGGTGCGAAGCGCTGTAGTCTTTCTGGAAAACTCTGGCTGTGTAGCTAGAGCCTTAGAGGCCCAGTAAACGCACTGCTAAGAACTCACATGATGGAGGTAATTGGGGACTGTGTTCACTGTGGAAGGGCTAATGCGCCACGCACTGTGCCGAGTCCAGTCCGGGACACAGCCTTGTGGCTGAGATGATTTAAATAAGTGTCGTGAGGAAAATTGAGGCGACAAAATGAGTAAAGAAAAGGAATCGGGGACAGACTGTGTGTAGCCCGAGGCTAGTTCATCCTGCAGCGAGCTGCGGGAAGTGGGAAAGACAGCCACACGCACGGGCCCTGCCTCGTTCCGTTTGCGGGGAAGAGGGAAAGGGAAACCTCAACTCCAGGATGTTCCCAGTGAGTTACTGGTGCTGGGCGGTAGAGTTAGGGATGACTGTAGTTTTGAAAATGCTTTTGTTTATTTTCCTAACTGCGTCCAGTTTGGAAGTGTGCTGCTTGTCGGGTGAGCAAAAGCCAGCACCTAGTGTGTGGAAACGCAGGGCTGGGGCGCTCCAGCGGCTGTCGGGAGAGGACAGCGGGAGAGGATGCCGTCTGAGCTTGCAGCCCCGCGAGGGAGACGGAGGGGAGGCGGCGGGAAGCCAGGCTCGGCTCTGCTGCTCTCTTTGTTCTGCAGAAGTTTCACGCACAGTAAACACTCCTGAGCAAGTCAGCCCTGAACTGCAGTGATCAGACAGTGTTTTCCTGTCCCAGGATGACAAGTGGGAGAAGAAATGCCAGAAGATCTTCTCCTTTGCCCACCAGACCATCAGCGCCCTGATCAAGGCCGAGCTGGCCGAGCTGCCCCTGCGGCTCTTCCTCCAAGGGGCTCTGGCCGCCGGGGAGATCGGCTTCGAGAATCATGAGACCGTAGCCTATGAATTCATGTCCCAGGTGAGGAGCCGCCCCTCTCAGGGCTGCTCACTGGCCTGTGCTGCTGGGGCCGGCCCTGCCTGCTGTTCTGACGGCAGGGCCCGTGGGCTGGTTCGCTCTCAAGGGGTTCGTGGCCGCCCCCTTGCCCACCGCCTTGGGACGTCTTAGTGCTGTGGTCGCACTGGCTGGCATGGCCACGGGAAATCCATCCTTTGCTGGGTGCCAGTGAGACCGAATATTTCCAGGTGGGTCCTGACGAAGCTGCCGTGGGAGACAGAGGTCCTCAGCTACCTCGGTTGGGGAGCCCTGGGTGGTGCCCTGGGTGGAGCCCTGGTTGGGGAGACAGAGGTGGTGTTAGGACCCGCTTCCTTATTGCAGCTTCTCGGTGTCCCCCCTCTGTCGCCGTGCCTCGTGCCTGTCCCCTCGGGCCCACACGCTCTGACCAGAAGGGACTGTGGAGCCTCCCGGCTGGGGGTCTGGTGGGAGCGGCTGTGGGAAGGGCTCGAGTCCGTGGTGGCACCTGAAGGTCCCTCTGCTGTGTCCTCAGGCCTTCTCCCTCTACGAGGACGAGATCAGCGACTCCAAGGCCCAGCTGGCAGCCATCACCCTGATCATCGGCACCTTCGAGAGGATGAAGTGCTTCAGTGAAGAGAACCACGAGCCCTTGAGGACGCAGTGCGCTCTTGCGGCGTCCAAACTTCTGAAGAAGCCCGACCAGGGCCGCGCCGTGAGCACCTGCGCCCACCTCTTCTGGTCCGGGAGGAACACGGACGGGAACGGGGAGGAGGTGAGGGCCCTTCCTGAGCGGCTGTGGGGCGGGGCGGGGACACCTGACAGAAAAGTGCCCGTTTGTCACAAGAGATGAAAGGAATGTGCAGAGTTAGATTCCGGGAGTGAAATCTCCACTTGGAGACGTTGTAACTCAGCAAGTGCACACCGCGGCCTTCAGCAGGGCCCGCGGTGCTGACTGTGCACCTCGGGGCGGTGTGGGTGCTGCACGCTCTGCAGGCCCTGCGCTTGCACACACTGCACAGGCGGGTTGGGGGGGGCAGCCCTGCCTCACTGGGTGGGTCTTTGCACGGCGCCGCCCACTGCCCGAGCACACTCCCCGTGTCTGTCACGGCCTGGGCCTGCTCATTCTCAGTGTCCCAGCCCTTTTTGTTACTGTCGTACGTGTCCTGGTGACCTGTGACCCTCAATCTCTGATGCTGCTACTGCAGTCATTTTGGGGTGCCGTGAACCCCGTGTAAGTGGGAACTTGCTGGCCAGCTGTGTCCTGATTGCTCCACCAGCCAGCCATTCCCGTGTCTCCCTCTCCTCGGCCTTGCTGTCCACAACCCACGGATTGCAGTCCAGCGTCACCTTAGCGCACTCGAGCTGGGGTCCAGAGCTGTGGGCCCGCTGCACGGCAGCGCCCCTGCAGTGCGGCAGTCGGGGCTGACACGCGGTGTTTCTGAAGTGCGCCTGTGTGTAGATGCAAAACGTGTGTGAACACGCAAGACAAGTAACCTTGTATCCCCTGTGACACAGAGCCGTGAACTCTGAAGTACTAAGACTCGGGGTCACTGGCCCCGCACAACCTGCCGAGGCTCCGTGTGTGGATGGGGTGTTCATGGCCCGTGCGCTCTGTAACCGCGTGCCCCCCACCCCTTGCATTCCAGCTGCACGGAGGCAAACGGGTGATGGAGTGCCTGAAGAAGGCGCTCAAGATCGCCAACCAGTGCATGGACCCCTCGCTGCAGGTGCAGCTCTTCATCGAGATCCTCAACAGATACATCTACTTCTACGAAAAGGAGAGCGACGCGGTGAGTGAGCTTTGATACATGCGGCAGTTCACCGTTCTGATGTTTGTTTTGTTTACAAGAGCCAGGGCTGGGAGACCTCACCTACGGGTGCTGATGCTCCAGAAACCCTTCTCTGTCTGCACAGGTGCATCTCTAACAGAAACGGCATTATGAGCGGGGACGTTCCTATCTCTTTTGCTTAGGAATATTTTTTAAGAGCAGTCTGTTTAAGAGTACGAAGTGGCTCACAGACGCTGAGCAGTGGGCTGGCGTGTCATCCGCAGGAGTTTGCGTTGTCCCCAAAGGGCAAGTGCTGCCTGGTGCTGCCAACGGCGACGCGCTGGCCGAGGCCCGTGGGGCGAGCACTGGTGGCTGGTGCTCTCATGCTGTGTCTCGGTGCTGCGAGTTTTTATTTATTGGCTTTTCTTTCTGTGGATGAACGGCCAGTTGTTCAAACTGGGAGCCCTGTTCCATCTCTCATTTCCGTAATTACTCTGGTAATTGATGAGAGTAACACCAGTTCCTCAAAACGTTTTTATTAAATCGCCTTTAATTCTTTGAGGTATGTGCTTGATCATGGACTTGTACGTATGCTTGCAGGTCACGATCCAGGTGTTGAACCAGCTTATCCAGAAGATCCGAGAAGACCTCCCCAACCTGGAGTCCAGCGAGGAAACGGAGCAGATCAACAAGCATTTCCACAACACGCTGGAGCACCTGCGCCTGAGGCGGGAGTCGCCCGAGTCCGAGGGGCCCATCTACGAAGGCCTCGTCCTTTGAGGGGGCCCACCGCCCTTCCTCGCACATCCACGGAGGGTTTCATGACACTAGGCCTCCCTCCCATAGATCGTGCCTTCCGGAAATGCCGAGGCAGGTTTCCCATTTCTGACCTGTGGTGTGTTACACCCAGCACCTCCGGACTCTCACCTTCAAGACCTTAATAAAGTTCCTCACTTCATTAGCGTTCAGGCCCTCCGGTCGCCCGAAGTAGCATGGTCGATTTGCTCTTTAAAAAATTCCTGTGCTCTCTTAAGGAAAAGAAAAAACCCAAACAAATCCTTAAAAACCACTTCTCATGGCTACTAGTGAAGCTCTCCTCCCTTCCTTCCTGTTTCGTTCCACTGTTGGTCCTGTAACTTCCTTCCCTGCGAGGGAGCGCTAACCCGGAAGTGTCTGTCTCAGTTCCCGCGTCCAGTTTGCGATTAATTTAGAAGAAAGGATTACGGTATGTGGAATTCAGCTCGGGCTTTTCCCTAAATGCAGAGTAAGGCCATGTACAATATTTTCCCTGAAACTAGAATATATTAATGCATGTTTGGGAGTGTTAAAGCACCGTGGTCAAAGCCAGAAGCTATATTTTGCATATTTGGACTCAGCCACCCAGTAAGAATCTATGTTGTTCTCTTGACATATTTATCAAAATAATTTTTGTTCTTAATAGTATAAAATAGAAAATTTGTGATCTATATAATTTATGTATAACCTTCATTATTGTAAATTTAGGGGGAAATGCATCATCCAATTATGATTTTTTTTTGCACCAGTGAAAATAAAGTTGCTTTTAACAACGGTGGACTCTCGTACTTGGTTCATTAAAGGGATGGTCGATGCCTGTGGAGTTGGGGCTGTTTTAGCTTCGCAGTCACTGCCAGGCTCTCAGCCTCTGCGGGAATTGTCACACCCGTGTCCTGCTGGCCTCTGCTCTTGCCGCCCAGCTCAGCTGGGCCTGGCAGAGCCTTCAGGGGTGGTTGCTGGAGTTTGGCTGCTTTCTAACTCTCCCTAAGCTGGGTTAGGTTGGGTGTTCCTTACCTTTTTCATTTTTATTTTTTTATATATATTTTTTACCCTTTCGATGACTCTCTCCTCATCTGTGAAATGGGGATAATAGTATCCCAGCCTTGCAGGTGGGATTTTGAGGAGTGAGATCATGCAGGTAAAGTGCAGGGGACTCAGCAAATGTTAGTTGTTGTTGGAGGTTACAGTGCCTTTGACGAACAAATATGGACAGAACATACCTTTAGTAAATCTAATCCGACATTTCTGAAAACGCTGTGTGTGCGCACGCGTGTAGCTGGGGGGAAATGGGGAGGGAGATTCCCGTGGTGAAAGGCTCAGAGCCTCCTAGGCCAAATACACCGTTTCTGGGGACGGAAGCCGAGAGGCGGAGAGACGGCAGAAGGAAGTCTAGCGACTGTGTGTGTTGGCTGTCACTCCGCCTTTTCCAGGCCTGGCTTGGTAGTTTTTTGGAAATTATCCCAAATGACCCAGTTGAATTTCGTCCACGTTCGTTGCAATAAACGGATGAGAACAGCAGTCTGCCTGGCCAGGAGGTGGCGCCCAGGCGCTGTCACGGGTGGACCCAGGCTGGGGAGGGTGGAGCCACGCACGCCTGCTTTTGATTGGTCTGGGCGCTGGCCCCCTGTCCAATCAGGAGTGCTGCGTCATCACGTTCTCGGGCTGGGCGGTGCCCGCAGAAATTTGAAATGGCTGAGGGGTTGCTGACGGGTTTTGGTCTGGGGTCCGAGGCGATGGGGCCGCAACCGGAGCGCACGGGCTGGGCGGCCGAGGAGGAGCCGGCGCCGCTGGAGAAAGGTGAGTGCCCGCCAGCCGGCCCGAGGAGCCAGCGGCAGGCCGTGTCCGCGGCCCTCCCGGGGCGCCTTCGGGCCGGGTGGCGGTGGCGGCTGCCTCTGCCTGGTCTTCACGGACCCTCGCGGCTTGGGCCGGGCCAGCCACTCCGCCCTGCGTGGCCGCGTCGGCTCCCTGGGCTGCGTGCGCGCGTGTCTGCGTGTCCCTCCTCCTGGGCCGGAGCTCGGAGGGCAGGGGACGCGGCCGGCGTCAGGGGACAGCCTAAACACAGCTCCAGGTCTATGCCCAGCCCGGACGCGGGCCCGGGAGGCTCCAGCGTCTCTTCTTCCCGGCGTCGGAAGCTCGCTCGGGCTTCCGCTTTGGCATTTTCCGCGGCTCTTTGTAGTGGAGACGTAGGGGACTTCAGGCCCCGGCTGCCCGCGTGCTCAGCCCCTAGGCTCCGCTCCCCCGTCGGGAAAGCTGCAGTCCTGCGGAGGGGTGGGGGTGGGGTGACATCGCGTGGGGAGAGGGGCCCTTTCAAAGGGGCTCCACAGAGCTGCGCGGGGGACAGGTGTCCTTTGGTTGCTATTCTGTCAGAGTACACCACACAGAATTGAGCACCTTAACCACCTGCTGGCCTGCAGCTGGGTGGCCTTAAATACTGTCACACCACCCTCAGAATTCATCGCAGTCAGTAAACCTGAACTGTCCTGTGGGTGGGAAAGGGGCTGATGGAAGGGAACCTCCCACGGCATCTGACAGGGTGGGCGGCCACGCCCCTGGCTTGTCACTTCTGTCTTGAAAGGTTCTAAGAACCTTTGTTTCTGTGCATCTAGGTTGACACACCTTGGAGATGCCAGAAGTGATTCCCCTCAAGGTGGGGCAGGGCTCTTAATCCTCAAGGGAGAACATAATCTTAAGTCTTTTGTAACCCCATCCCCTCCTTGCTCTTCCCCACTTCCCCACAGTCTCCCTCCCGGATCCACCTGCGTAAATGAAACTGCCAGCTGCTGGTCCAGGAGCCCTTTCCCAGCCTGTTGACATCTTGCTGCTCACAGGCGCAGCCTCTGTTTGGCTCAAATCAGTGACTATGACATTCTCTGCAGGCTCGGCCATTCTCACATGGACACTGCACCTGATTTACACTCACGCCCCGTCCCCCCACCTCCAGTCCCCGGCCACCAGCGTTCTCCTTTCTGCCTCCTTTTGGTCTCCTTTCTGCGATTTGACCAAATCACTCGTGTGGGTGGGGCCACACCGTATTTTCCTTTCTGCGACTGGCCACTTTCAGTTAGCTTAGCACCTGAGAGGCTCATTCACACGTCCTTTTTAAGGTGCAACAGTAACACTCCCTTGTCCAGACTGATGGTCAGGTTTCTGTGCCCTTCCGTCCACCGTTGGACACGAGGGCGGCCTCCGCGTTCGGGCCCCTGTGGGTGAGGCCACTCTAACGCGGGCGTGCACGTGTCTCGTGGAGACCTGCTTTCACTCCCTGGGGCAGTGGACCCAGAGGGAGTTGCAGGGCCCTGGGCAGCCGTGTGTGCCTAGGTGTGTGAGGGGCCACCCCACGTGCCCCGCCCCACAACAGTGCACAAGGGGCCGATTGTCCACAGCCTCGCCAGCACCTGTTTTCCCCAAGGCTCCTCTTGTTGCTTTGTGAAAGAAGCTACCTCCTGGTCCTGAGTGTGAGGGAGGTCTGGGTTCATTAGCAATAGTGTATTGTGGGGTGTGTGTATTAGCAGTGGGAGTGACAGCTAATTCCTGGAAGAAGGCATCTGTTTTCATCTCCCCTTCCTGGGGGAGGGCTCTGAGGCACGGAGAGAGAGACTGTCACCCCACGTCAGTGCTGGTCTCCTCTGCAGCTGTGCGCTCCGGCCACTGCCGCTGGGGGTGGCCTCGATGGGGGCACAGAGGCTGAAGGAAGCAGGAAAGAGAACGGTGTGGGGTACAGAAAGACTGTATTTGATAGTCCCAGAGCCCCCCAAAACCACATGGCCACTGCCAGCAGCCTGCGCCTGCGCTCAGTGTGGTGGTTTTGTGGCCGTCTGTGCCTTAACGATGACCTGCTGGTGCACAGGCTCAGATGGGCCATGGGCTGGGCCGCGCCTGTGAGGCACAGCTGCCGCAGCCCACTCCAGCTGTGACTAGCATCCCCACTCTTCCCCTTCCCCACAGTCACTGAAGTCAGCGGGGAGGGGCCTGGCAGCATTGGGGAGCAACCCTGATGCATTGTGGGAACCTCTCATCTCTGTGATGGACCACTGTCCACAGACTGACATCGGAGGAAGTAAGGGTGGCTCCAGCTTGCTTGAGGGGGAGTGTAGCAGACCACCCCTGATTTTAAGGCAGCTTTCTAGAATCGCTCTGGACAGGCAGAAGTGACTAAGGTGGCTGACCGGGGCACATTGCTGGCCACAGTGGGAATCATCGCTGTCCAGGCCAGTGAACTGGGTGGCCCCCCTCGAGTTCAGGGACAGCCCTCCTCTGCCTCCTGGGAACCCCACAAACACAAACCGCACCTCCGTTCTAACCGTGTACTGAGGGCCCACTTTGGGGGCGCGTCAGGGTCTGGTGAAACCGGCCTCTCCAGACCTCGGCAGCCAGACCCGGGTCCAAGTCCCATCAGTGTTCCGAGTGAGTTCCGGGTGCTGGCTGACTTTGGGTCCTTTCAGCCTTGTTCCAGGATGGAGGTTCATGCAGCGACAGCAGTGGGAACAGCGGGCCAGGGTCCCGGCTACCCAGCTTCACGCTGCAGGGGAAGGCCAGCTTCCCGGAGATGTTCCAGACGGGCCACCTGCTGTTCTACGAGCGCTTCGCCGCCTACCAGGACTACATTCTCGGTGAGCGGCTCCCTTCCCTGCTCGCGTGTCTTGGTTCGTGGGTTCACCGTCTCTGGCCCCCGGGCTGCCCGCGGTTGGCTCTCAGTGAGGGGGGTTCGAGGGCCCCCGGGCTTCCCTCCGCTGCTGGGTGCAGTCTCAGTTCTGTGTGTGTGTGATGTGTTCGCAGCCGACTGCAAGGCCTCTGAGGTGAGAGAGTTCACTGCCGAGTTCCTGGAGAAGGTCCTCGAGCCATCCGGGTGGCGGGCAGTCTGGCACACGAGCGTGTTCGAGGTGCTGGTGGAGGTAAATCGAATCCCATGGCTCGGCCGCTTGTCCCAGCTAAAAGCGCTCCCCTCAAACCGTTATGGTCAAAGTGCTTATTTTTAATTAAAGTTTATGAGCTGAATGAAAACCGTGTGTTTCCCCCACCGAATTGCCGGGGTGCGTGAAGGTGTGTGAAGTGTTTCGCACATTTAAAGACCCTGAGGAGGGGCTGCCAGGGGTCGGGGCGGCTTTCGTTCCTGTGCCCTTTGACCCGGGGACCTGGGTTATACACCAGCGGGAGGAGGGGGTGTTTGAGACCACTGGGGGAAATGGCGCCCTACTTACGAAGTCAGTGGAGTTTCAGTTCACTTTTTTACCTTTGTGGCAGCCCATTAAATAGCTCAAGCCAGACAGACGTTTCAGAAACTAGCCTGGTTTTTGCCTAACACACCTGGCGATTTGGGTGGCCCTCCGGATGCCGCATCACGCTGCGGAAGGGGGAGACAGTCTCGTTTTCCAGCTGACTGGGCCTCTCAAATGAAGTTTGCACCCTAATTATAGCTGTGTAGTTTCCTCGGTGTTTGTTAGCTAGACCACAAAAAGCCCTGTTAAGCCAGACTGTGAAACCAGAGCGTCATTACCAGTTGCCGCGCAGCTCCCAGGCCCGGGCGTCCCAGCCTGCAGTGACCGCCGCCCGGGCGGTGGGGGCAGGGGCGGTGGGGGCAGCGTTTCCCTGTGCATCTGAAATTCTGGGTGCTGCCGCTTGGGTCGCAGTTCGGCCGCTGGGTTAGGTTATGAGAGGCACCCCTGTGCCCCACTCCCCAGCTCAGTTCTCTAAAAGCAGTCAGGGGCAGCTCTAGAGGAGAAGCACTCACTCCTCCTCGCTGGAAGCCTCCGCTCACTCACCAAAGGCCCGGCTTCCAGGCTCCTGCCTGCCGGAGAGCACGTCCCATCCAGGCTCCCTCCCTGGTGCTCCGGTCCTGGGCGCCCCAACCCCAACCCACCTGGTCCCCTGCTGCTCCCCCACCGTTTCCTTCCTGTGGCCCCAGCAGCTGCCACCTGGGCTCTGCCCCAGGCCCTTGCCCTCCCTGCTCCTCAGGGGGCTGCTTCCGTCCCAGCCTTTCCCTGAAGCTCCCAGTGACTCCCTGGCCTCCCCCTGCTGGTGGTTCTGTCACACGCTTGACAACGTCCTGGCAGCTCATTCGTTTCCTCCATTAAACGTGAGCTCCACGTGGGTCAGAGTCCGGCCCCCCTGTCTTCCTTTTGTCCTGGGGGGAAGGCCCCTCCCACTGTGGTCAGGAAACATCAGGCTGCAGGGAGTGTCCTCTGTGTGTGTGTGTCCCTTGTGATTTCCGTGTGGTAAGTCTTCGTACTTTAACTCGGAGGTCACGGACGTGGACTTCGCGGCCCTGAAGGCCGTGGTGCGGCTGGCGGAGCCCTGCCTCTGCGAGTCCCCCCTGAGCACCTTCACCCCGGAGTGCGTGCAGGAGCTGCTGGACCTGAAGGCGTGGCGGCTGCCCCTGCAGGAGCTCTGGGTGGTGTTTGACGGCTCCGGCGCGCTCGACCAGACCGCTCTCGCCATTGAGCACGTCAGGTAGGCGGCGGGCCTGGGGAGACGCCGCATGGCCAGGGCGGGGACCCAGTGTGGGAGCGCTGTGCTCCGATGCGACACTCAGACGGCCCTTTGGTCACTGCAGGGGCTTAGAATATTCAAAGACAGCCGAGTCTTGTTTAAATTGGAAAAGTGTGTGGAAATGTTTGAAATTTTGGTTTCGACGTAATTTCGGACTTACAGAAAGTCGAAGTAGTCCCTGCGTAGCTTTCACTTGGCGTCCCCGTGGGCTATCAAGAGAGGGGGGCTGTGAATTTGGTTTGTGCAGATTTGGAAATTGTCACACAAGTTCCGGATGCTCAGCCTGTGGCCAACGTCCGTGAGTGAAAGAGGAGAGGAAAGCCGAGGACCGGAGGCCCCTGTCCTGGGACCAAGGTGTCTGGTCGGCGGAGGCCTCTCCTCCGGCCGCACCCAGGCTCCCGGCGCATGGGCACAGGGCGCCCGTCCTGCCCCTGGGGAAGAAGGGAAGCCACGCCGGGCCCCTCCTCTCAGGCAGATCTGTAATATCGCGCCTGGTGCAGGCAGGCTGTTTGGGTCTTCTGTGCCTCGGAACGTTCATGAAGGAAGGCTGGCTTAGCGTTGACAAGTGACTCACGCTCCTCCGGGGGCTGTGAGAGTGGGCAACAGGACATCGCTCAGGGCTTGAAGAAGTGCTGTCTGCTTTCTGTACTGGCGGCACAGCAGCCTGGTGTGCGGGGCCCGAGGCAATACTCTGCCGGGCGGCTGCGCAGTGGGCCCTGCTTCCACCCGACCCTCCAAGAGCATCTAATTCCAACCCTGGGCAAGAACTGCTAACCCCGCGTGTGCAGCCTCAGGCCGAGCAACAGGCGTCTCAATGGCTACCTCCCAGAACCAAAACCAGTCCCTTACGTTTCCCTTACAAAACCCAACAGTGGACGGCTTGAAGGTCAAGGGTGACGTGAAGGGACTGGGGTCAGGGAGCTGATCTCTGGTGTGGAGGCTGGTGGGAAGCCTCGTGTCTGCGGTCAGTGATGTCGTTGCTGGAGGAGGAGGAGCCTGGCCAACTCCCCCACGGCTGGGGGCTCAGCTGGTCAGGGCCCAGAAAAGACTGAGTCAGGAGGGGTTTCATTCCGTCACTTGTTCCGAAATGGCGAGGCTCGAGTGTCCATCCTGAGTTGAGGGTGAGGTCTCATCAGTTCGTGGCCCCACGGCGGGGAGCGGTCGCACGGCGACATGCGAGATGGGGGCCGCAGTCGGTGCAGCGAAGGGTTGCCCGGACCGTCCAGGCCCTATACTGCGGCTGTTTCCTGAGGAAGTGGCCTTCGTACTCGGGTCTGAAGGGGAGGGACAAGGGAGGGGACAGGTTCGGGAGAGTTTAAGGAGCCACGGGAGACCAGCGTGGCTGGGGCGCAGGAGAGACAGAATGGGAGGCCAGCAGGAGAGGCCGCGGGGCAGATGGGGCAGGGCCAGTGTACGGGCAACACGGAGGGTTGTCGTGCACGGGCCTGAGCCGCTCTGTGCCTCACAGGGTCCTCGGGTGCTGCGTGGAAGACGGTGGCGTAGGGGTGCTCGTCAGGAGGGGCCCCGGGGGGGCGGGGCTCGGACACCTAGCAGAGCAGGTCGGCTGGGACTGGGGGCAGACAGGTGCTGGAGCGTCCAGCTCACCCCCAGGTCTTTGTCCCGGGAGAAGCCACCCTGGGGACGTGCAGGTGGGAATGACAGTGTGTGTGGGTGCTGGCCCCGAGGAGGGTGACAGCTAGGCTGCTGGTGGCGCTGGTGGCGCAGGTGGGCGCCCTCTAGCGGCACTGGTGTGACTGGGAGTTTGCCTGTGGGGGCTCGAGGCAGCATGAATTCAGGGAATGTCCCCAAGCTTGGGAATTTGGACTTTGTCTGGCAGCCCTGGAGCCAGAAGGGATTCTGTGCTCAGGTTCCACTCTGAACGCTGGCTCTGGGGGCCGCTGGGGTGGGTTGGACATGGCTGCTTCCTCCTTCCCCGGGCGTGGCTGCCGGACCTGCCCTGTCCCCGCCCCCGCCCCTACCCCCACCCCTGTGGCCATTACTTCTCCCACCTCACCTCGCTTGAGTGTTGGCACTCTGCAGTGGGCAGTGAAGCGACAGTCCTCGGCGGGGCCGGCGGGGGCTGCCGTGCCCACTGGCGAAAACAGACGGACTGGGAGCTCGTCGTGGGTGAGCCAGGCTGTTGGCAACCACGACCACTCTTCCCCTCGGCATCTGAGAGATGCCTGGTGCTGTCTGCGTCCTGGGGGAGGCGGGAGGTTCTCTGTACCTCCCTCAAGGGTCCTTGGCAAAACCCCCTTTTCTGAGCCCAAACTGAGTCTCCAGATCCTGCTGCCTGGTTGCTAGCAGTAAAGGGTCAGAAGACCATGTGCAGTGGCCCCAGGGGCTGCAGTCAGGAAAACCCGGAGGTGTGGAAAACGGTTGGATATGTGGGAGGAGAGAAAGGGGGGAGTCTGCAGGCGGAGAGGGTGGGGTGGGGCGCAGGGGCCAGGCCGCCTCTGCAGTCCAGCGACTGGGGAGCACGGAACGCTGACCAGGTATCTGGATATTAAGGAAGCAGTGGTTTTTTTGGTAGAAAGACTACTTTTGGAGGTGTGCGCTAGGCCTTTTGAATGGCATGCTGCATCCGAGATGTGCTTCACAGTAGGTGTCTGGTGGTGGGAGGAGCTGGGGGCTGGAAGAGGTGGGGGGGCGGCGAGGCTGGGGGACGGGGTGCAGTCCCACGATGCTGTCGCTGCTGTTTGCGTCAGAGGCTTCCTGTGGTGAGAGAACCGATCAGTCGTGTGGGGGCTTTAAAAAGCTTTTGGACCCTGCTCCCGGCGTCCCCTCCCCAGCTCTGAAGAGAGGGGATGTGCTGGTTGGGGTGAGGTCTGGACACCCGTGTGTGAGGGTCCCAGGGAGGCGAAGGTACAGCAGGCAGAGAGCTGCTCTCTGGCCTGGCCCTGGGTGGTCTCATCTGTGGCTTTAAGGCCATCAGACCAACCAGCCGACAGCGCCCAGGTGTGCGTCTGTGGCCCGACCCTCTTGGAGCTCTGAGCACACGCTGACAGCGGCCACTCGGAGGCCCAGCAGGCAGCCCCACCCTGGCGTGGCGGAAACGTGCGTCTCCCGTCTTCTCTCTCTGCAAGCGGCCTCCTGCCCACTCCCGGGGGGGGGGGTCAGTAACTCGTTCTAGGAAGAAGGAGTCCCAACCGAATTCCGCTGTGGGCAGACTCCCGTGGGTGAGAGGATTGCCTCAATTCCCCCCCATGCGCCCTCCCTGCAAACCCTCGCGCTCAGAGCTGGCGGTTGAGTTCAGATGCCACCAACTGCCTTCCAGGTTTTTCTACCAGCACATCTGGAGGAGCTGGGATGAAGAGGAGGAGGATGAGTACGACTATTTCGTCAGATGTGTTGAGCCGAGACTGAGACTGTGAGTGCCCCCTGGTGGCCGGGTGGGTGCCGAGCAACAGCTCCCTGTCCGGGCGCAGAACGGGCTGGTCAGCGCAAACTGCCCCTGCCCTGCTCTGGAATGGGGTGGGGGCAGCGGATGGTGGGGTTCGGCCCGAGACCCCGGGGGAAGTGACCTTGGACTGAGAAAAGAAGCAGTGATTTTGAACTGCGGGTAACAACCGTGAGGTTGTGCTCCATCTTCAGGCCCGCGCCCTCCACGCTCCTCGGGCACTTCCTGCATCGAGAGGCACTTTCCACCCATCTGAGGGTTGGAGTGAGTTAGAGAGTGTTCAGGGCCAGTGAGGTCGTCCGTCCGCCCGAGTCTTTCTGGTGTGGTTGCTCTCTAGTTAGTAACCACGGCTTTAGTTTTTCCCTCGGTGTCTGAAAGGTCTGTGTGTTTGAACTCAACACAAACGTCACGCTCGCAGGCACTATGACATCCTCGAGGACCGCGTGCCTTCGGGGCTGGTCGCCGACTACCGCAGCCTGCTGTCCCAGTGCGAGGAGGTCTACGGGAACTTCCTGAGCCTGCGCAGCAGCCTGTCGGCCTGTGACTCGGACAGCGAGCAGGGGAACCTGTCCATGGTGGAGGGGCTGAAGCTGTACTCGGAGATGGAGCAGCTGAAGCAGAAGCTGAAGCTCATCGAGAACCCCCTGCTGAGGTGGGTGCCCCGCCCATCCCGCCAGCCGGCGTCCCTGCCGAGCAGCCGCCCCCGAGCCCTCATGGCTCCGTTTGGTCCCTCAAGGTACGTGTTCGGGTATCAGAAGAATTCTAACATCCAAGCCAAGGGCGCCCGACCCCATGGCCAGAAGGTCACCCACGTGGTGGCGTCCACCCTAACGGCAGGGCTGCTGGGGTCCCTGCTCCGGGACAGGCTGTGTCGCGAGCCTTGCGAGGAGGAGGCGGAAGTCCAGGTACGGGGTGTTTCCTGCTCGGGCGGCTGCCCTCCCCCCGGCCACCAGGGTCTCCCGGGTTCTGCAGGGTGTCACAGGACCTCCCCGAGCTGGTTTTCTGTGACACGGCAGGGACGGCCCTGCCTTCGCTTGGCACCTGTCCCGGGGTCTGCAGTGCTGGCTGTGTGGGTGGCTCATCCTCAGAGAGAGGTGCAGGGTGTTGCCGCTGTCTTCCAGTTCCACAGGGACCTGCTGTCGGCCGTTGGCGCCTGCTACGAAGGCGACACCGTCATTGTCTGCCCCGGCCGTTACGTGGTGCACGGCCCCTTCGCCCTCGCGGACTCCATTGAGCTGGAGGGTGAGTGTCCGGGATGCGGAGCCCACCCCTCCCGCAGCGGGGCTGCAGGGGCGGGGCCAGGGGATGGGTCAGTGCCCGGGGGCCAGCCCGGCCCAGCCCGGCCGCTCCCATGCACTGAGGGCAGTTAGAGCTCGCGGGGTGACTCGGGGCTGAGCAGCGGGGGCAGCTCTCCCGGGCGCCGTGTGTGGGGAAGACAAGAGCACCCTGAGGACAGAGGCTGTTAGGCTCGGGAGAAGCGTGTTTTCTAGATTCTGGGTGGTTTGCGGAAAGGAAGTCTCTGTTCTGGAATGAAAAATATCCCCGGCATATATTTTAAGAATCTTTTTTTACTTATTGCTTACTCTTATTTCATAAATGTGGATATATCAAGGCATTTTTTAAAACACTTCGGTTATTGTGAAGTTGAATAAAAAACCTTTCCTTAATTTATTAAAAGCTTACTGAATGTCACAAATTCTGCCTGTTCAATCTTGACCAGAGTGTGTTTTGAGAACTTTAATGTGGAAAGGTCGTATTAAAAACAACTTTAGCAGTCGAAGCCTCCTTGCACTTAAAACAATTCCTAAATTTGGGTGACTTTGCGGCCGTTCACCCGGTCCCGTGTATTTCCATAGTGTGTCCAGTCTAGATGCACCTGTTCAACTATTTACCGAGAGAGCGTCAAGTTAGCACGAAGGCTTGTACTGCAAAAAGCCACCTGTCGTTTCGGAACTGGTGCAGGTGTTCAGAAACTGCGCCAACTGAGTTCTTTATCGCTATCAGGTCAAGACTCCTCCTCAGACAAGGCGGGCGGTTAGTTTCCTGCTGCTCACCAGCACAGGCCGCACCCCCTCTTTTGCTTAGTGTGTGTATTTTTTATTCTCTCTTCTCCAAAGTTTGATATGTAGTAGGGGCGTGTGTCTAAATAACACATCCGCAGGATAAATCCCTGCGATAGAAACACTCTGTGTCTGGGTGCGGTGAAAGTCTTGTTTAAGAGCAGCTGAAACACGAGCTTCCCGGGGTGGGAGTGAGATTTTATTCAGGTGCAGCCGGCCTGACTCATCTCAGGTGTCATCTGGAGTCACTGAAAGAGAAAGCCCCCCCCCCCCTCACGGCGCTCAGCACCACCCGCCTGTCCTAAGTGGCCTTGCTCCCCCCTCAGGGTTTGGCCTCCCGGACGACATCGTGATAGAGCAGAGGGGCAAGGGTGACACGTTTGTGGACTGTACGGGCGCCGACGTCAAAATCTCAAACATCAAGTTCGTGCAGCACGATGCGGTGGAGGGGATCTTAGGTGAGGATCCGGGCGTTTCGCGCCTCATTTCTCCCAGGCGGGAAGGAGACTTGACTTTCCCTGGAAGACGCTCTGGAGCGTGCGGAAGGCCGATTAGTGGTGACGAGTGTAGCACGATGGCTTCGGAGGCTCACTCCCCCTCGAAAGTAGCACCGCCTGCCCCTGAGAGCCGGAAGCGGGGCGAGGGCTTCCTGTGCGCCCGTCTCTCCTCTGAAACTGCCCGAGGCCTGCGTTGCTGGCATTCCATGCAGCCCCAGGGGCGAGCCAGCTGTCCTCCCGGGTCCCTGCGCCCTTCCCGGGGTTGGGCCTCGTTTTCTTCTGCCCCCACATGCTTGGGGCAGGGACCGTTGGAGACCTTCTTTATTTTTTGTTATGAAAAGTGCTCTTTACCTTGATTCTATGTTTCTGAGGTCAAGTCATCCTTTTTAAGCACATGCTGCTTTCAGGTTTCAGATTTAGACCCTCACAAGAAACAGGCAGCTTCGTGGATCCCGAGTCCGTAACTAGTAGCGGAGTTCAGGTGGTGGCCGTGGGGAGGTCCTAGACCGTCTAATGCAGCCCCGGGCCCCTTGCCGGCCGGAGAGGGCTCGTGTCCTCGTGTGACTGTGTGTCTCCCTCGCAGTCATCCACCGGGGCAGGACCGCCGTGGAGAACTGTGTGCTGCAGTGCGAGACGACCGGCGTCACCGTGCGCACCTCCGCGGAGTTCCTGATGAAGGCCTCGGACCTGTACGGGGCCAAGGTGGGTGCCCCTGCCTCTCGGGGTCATTCGGGCTGAAGCTCCAAATGCACTGGAAACTGCGGGCCGGGAGGAGGATGCGCTCCCCACTTTCGTGTTTCAGAGGGGTTCAGAAACTTCGGACTCAGTCGGCCAGACTCGGCGGGTCAGATTAGCGGCTTTCAAAGCAGGTTCGGGAGGGGAGCAGTTGATGGACCTCACACTTGGCCATCCCGGCTCTGTGGGGGGTGAGGCCCTTAAAGTTTAACCCGGTACAGGATTTAGTAGTGGTTGTGCGCAGTTGCTTTTCTAAATGAGACTTTTCTTTTGAGGTGAGTGTAGATTCACACGCAGTAGGAGGAAGTAACAGAGAGGCTCCCTGAACGCGTGCCCCGCCCCCTCATTGGCACATCCTGCAAAACCACAGTGCGACAGACAGCACGGCCAGGGCGGCCTTGGCTCAGTCACCTGACTCCTCCTTCCCGGCAAGGCTCCCCCTCGGGCCTTGCGCCCACTCGCCTTCCCTTCCAGTGTCTCCGTGGCCACTGGCCGACCCTCCCCTGTCCCCCATCTCTGTCATTTCGTCACTGCAAGAACATTCTCCAAGTGGGCTCACCGTCTGTCACCTCCCAGGGTGACACACAGCTCGACTTCTGGTGCTCCGCCCAGGTAGCCAGGTGGGCCAGTCAGTGGCCCCGCATAGCCATCCGCCTGCAGAAGGCTGGCAGGCCGCTTCCGTGGTGGCTTGTGGGTAAAGACGCTGCGACCTTGCGTACAGGCCTCTGAGGGCACGTGGTTGCATCGCCCTGGGGCAGGTGCCTGGCGCTGCAGCTGCCACTGCGGCCCCAACGTGTTGAAGGGAACTGCCCAGCTGTTTCCCTGGCGGCGTCTGAGCGACCCAGCTTCTTCGGAGCCTTGCCAGCACTTGGGAGTTTCACTGTTTAATTTTAGTCACTCCGATAGGTTGTGGTTTTAATTTGCATTTCCCTAATGGTGCTGATGCCAGTGCCTAGTTGGGATATGGTTCACAGATGCGTCCTGCTGGTCTGTGCTGGTCACACCCCTTCACAAGGGCTTTGCACAGCACAGGCACATTCCGGTGACCGCCGGGTGGCCGACTGGTCCTTTTCTGGGTTGTGCTCTTGCTGCCAGATTTAAGAGCTCTGTCCGGCCCTAGATCTCAAAAGTTTTTCTCCTGATTTTTGTCCTGAAAGATTTGTAGTTTACCTTTTGCATTTAAGGCCATGACTCATTGTTGAGTTCATTTTGGCCTAAGTGGGAGTTTCGGGTGAAGGTTCACTTGTTTGCCCGTGGATGTCCACTTGCAGCTGCGGTCCCGAAAAGGCGGTCCCTGGGTGGGCTGGCTCGCTTCTGGTCGGACCCTCTGGGTCTGTGTGGCTGGTTTCGGGGCTCCCCCCTTGGCCCTGTGGCAGCCCCCCACCCCCCACCATACCTGCAGCTGCTCAGGGAGCCTGGATATCAGCACAGTGGTCCCTCCCACTTCATTCACCTCTAAAATCTCTTGCTGTTATTCTTCCTTTGCCTTCCAATACAAGTTTTAGAAAAATCTCATCTCTATCTCCAGAGAGCCTTGCTCCAGTTTTGGTAGGAACTCACTAAGCCTGCCTGTCGGTGTGGGGAGAGCGGACGTCTTTTTTCTGCTGAGTCTAATCTCTCGAACCCTGAGCGTCTCTGCTTCCCCCTTTGGTTTCCTTTGTCAGCATTGCGTAGTTCGCAGCGTACCAGCCTCACGTGTGTTTGGTTAGATGTTTTCCTAAATATTTCATTTTGTTGGAGGGATCCTGATAGTGTATTTTTAAATTTCTGTTTCTGTTTTCTGAGAATGAAACTGTGTTCACTCTTTTTTATAAAGACTATTTATTTACTTTTTTGGAAGGGAGGGAGGGAGAAAGAGGAAGAGAAACATCAGTGTGTGGTTGCCTCTCCTGTGCCCCCTACTGGGGACCTGGCCCCAGGCATGTGCCCTGACTGGGAATTGAAGCGGTGACCCTTTGGTTCATAGGCCGGTGCTCAGTCCACTGAGCCGCACCAGCCAGGGTGAATGTGTGTTCACTTTTGTCACATGTTTTTTCTGCATTATTTGATGTGGCTACATGGTATTAATTGATTGATTGATTGAATCCGGAAATGAGTGCTGATACTTTACCCAGTGCCGTGTGTGAGCACACGTGGGTTCTGAAAGTGGCGAATGGCCGCGTTGGTCAAGAAACAGCCAATGCAGTGTCGATAAAACATGCTCTGGCTGCACTTTGCACTCATGGGCGCTGCGTTCAAGTCTGAGAGGTGGCTCTGCCTTCCGAGAATCGGTGGTCACGGCCTCCCTGGTGTCTGGCAGGGAGCGGGTGTGGAGATCTACCCCGGGAGCACGTGCACGCTGAGTGACAGCGGGATCCACCACTGCAAGGAGGGCATCCTCATCAAGGTGGGTGGCCCCGCCTCGCCCCCCCCCCACCAGCTGAACCCCCCAGCTGGGTTCTGGGGCGTTTCAGTTTGGTTTGGGAAGGCGTGAGCGGTATAGACGTTAGTTAGACGGGAGTGCGCGGCGGTCCGGGCGGGGTCTTGTGGGAGCCACGGAGCACTGTGTCCCTCGGAGCTCAGGCCGCCACCAAGTGGCAACAAGCCCGGCTTCCGACCGTGTTTTTAGAGTCGCCTGGAAAGGGATGAATTTGAGGCAGGCGGCGCCGCCCGTGACGCTTGCCTAAAGCATTTGCATTCGACGCCACAGGACTTCTTGGACGAGCATTACGACCTTCCCAGGATATCCATGGTGAACAACATCGTCCACAACAACGAAGGCTACGGCGTCGTGCTGGTGAAGCCCACCATCTTCTCCGACCTGCAGGAGAGCGCCCCCGGTGGGGCCGGAGGTGGGCCGCGCCGCCTTGCTCCCGAGCACTTCCGGCGGCCCGCCTAGAACCTGGCCTTGTGTGACTGCCCAGGGGAAGGGCCCGCCCTAGAGCCACGGCGCTGCTGTGGGCGGTGTGAACGCGGGAGGCCGCGGGAGCCCGCATCTCCTGGGGGGAGGGATCATGGAGTTTGCCGCAGTTTTTGGTCGGTCACGTGCAGGCCTCCCGTGGACTCATTCTCGGCAGCAAAGCTGAGCTAACCCGGTGGGAAACGCGGGAATTTGAGGGCAGGGCCCAGATGTCTGTGAAATCTAAGCTGCAGAGAAGGGTCAGGCGTTTGTGGGATGCAGACCCCTGCATCCAGGGTCTGCTCCAGCCCGCTCTCTGCAGCTCCCCCTGTTCTCCCAGTCCCCGGTCTGCAGTGCTGGCGGGCTGGGCTTGGGGCCTCACCGGAGACACTGAACTGTCAGCGGCCCGGGCTGCCCCCTGAAGTTCTGGGGGAGGGTCTTCTGAGCTCACTCAGGCTGTTTGCGGAACCCACTGCCTTGAGGGTGTAGGGCTGATGCCCCCACACACTTGCTGGCTGTTGGTTGGGGAGCCCTCTAGGGGGAGGCCGACCTCAGTGCATGTCGGTGCGGGAGCCTCCCTCTGGGCTGCGGCCTCCCCGCCTCCCTCTCTCCCTCTAGTCGGAGGGCACCCTGCTCGCACGGCGCCCGGGCGCTCTGCTGGAGGGCCCCTGGTGAGTCACCTTCATCACACCTTTGAAAGCCTCTGTCCGCTGTCAGTTAGGAAGGTGACAGCCAGGGCAGGTGTCGCGGGTGCCACCAAGCCCCCGCCATGGCGCTGAGCGGAGTGAGCTCACACAGAGGCCTGGTGAGTGACGGAGCCTGCAGGGTCAGAGAGGGACGTTCAGAGCTGGCGATCCTGCGCAAGGGTCAGGAGACCTTGTTATGACAATGGCAGCAGTTTGTCATACCCAGTGAAGGGACGTGGGGATTCTGGGCAGGAAAACCTTGAAAGCTCCAATCTTTCAAGGTTTTGAAAGATTCGGTCGGCTGTGGAATCACAGGTGGGTTGGGTTCGTCTGTGTATTGAACTGTGTTTGTTTTTCCAGAAAATAAAGCCCTGAAGTCCCAGACCAGTGGAGAGGCAGACGCAGCCGAAAGAGTGGACCTGGAGGAGCTGATTGAGTGCGCGGCCGGGAGGGCGGGGCTCGGCGCCAGGCCCGGCCTCTCGGAGCAGGTGGAAGGCAACTGCGAGATCGTCAGCGAGCTGGTGGCCGCCTCCACCCAGAAGGGCCAGATGAAGAAGAAGAGGCTGAGCGAGCTGGGGATCACGCGGGCGGACGACAACCTGATGGCGCAGGAGATGTTCGTGCGCATCGTGGGGAACCAGTTCAGGTGGAACGGGAAGGGCAGCTTCGGCACATTCCTGTTCTGACCTGGTGCTCAGATGGGGGGTGCGGAGCTCGGCACCCACGCCCGAGACACTCCACTGCCGTGCCGGCCCGCCTCCTGTCCACGCCGGCCTGTTCGACCGATTCGAGCGACGTGTGGGCTCCCGGCTGCAGGCGCACGGAGAACGTTCTGTCTGGGTGAGAGGTGGTCAATTCATGTAAAACAGAAAGTACCGCAGACTTCCTCCCTAGAAAGGCTCACACGGTTCTCTGACGTCGGGCCCACTGGGAACTTCCCAGTGATGACACAGCCTGGTGACCCAGCACTTCCCAGAGCGGGAGGGCGTCTGGGAGCGCTGGACACAGCACAGGGTCCCAGTCCGGTCCCACGCACAGGCTTCCAAGGCTCCGAGCCTGAGCCTGACGCCCTTGCGTCTGGGTGTGGGGCGCTGCCTGCTTCACAGCCTCTGCAGGGGGGTGGCCCTCGCGATCTGCATCGCCATGGGAACAGGAGGTGGTGGAGCAGTTTGCAGCGGAGGCGCGGCCTGCCACCTGGGGCCAGGGCGTCCGTGGGCACTGCTGCTGGGGGCGCTGGGTAACCCGAAGCTGCTGCCTCACACCAGGGGCTCTGACCTGGCCTCTGCAGACGGCACCCAGTGCGAGCCACGCCGGCGCCGTGCTTGTGGCACCACCCGCCTTTTAAAAATATTTATATTAAAAGATACTATATGTGACATTAATATGCCTACTGATTAAGTTTACACTGATGAACTAACAAGTTGAATCTTGGTGTGTTTTTCCTAACGCGTTACGGGCCAGAGTGACCCTTCGAAGTACAGACAATAGTTGGGTGACATTTCAGATATTTTCCAGTCCAAGACTTTTTTATTTTATTTTATTTTTTATTTATTTGTAGAGAGAGGGGAAGGGAAGGAGAAAGAGTGGGAGAGAAATATCAATGTATGGTTGCCTCTCATGCGTCCCCTGCTGGGAACTGGCCTGCAACCCAGGCATGTGCCCTGACTGGGAATCGAACCGCGATACTCTGGTTTGCAGGCCCGCGCTCAATCCACTGAGCTACGCCAGCCAGGGCTCCAAGAATTTTTTTTGGTGGAAGGACTCTTTAACATCTTTCTTTCTTCATCAGGATTACACAGGGCCCAGCCGAAGGGAGGCCTGCTTGGGTGTGGTTGGTAGGGTGGTGATGTGGGTGTAATGACTCAGTTTTAATGTGAACATTTCACCTAAATGAAATGTCACACGGTGTGCTTGAGGGTGGTGGTGCTATATGTTTTGATTTTGTAATTAAAGAGTTTGTAGTGAAAGAGGCGTTCTTTCTGCCGGGCCCGGCGTGTCAACTCTCTTGAACACGTGGAACGGATTCACGATAACTGTTTCGGAATCTTCGGTGGCTTTGTTGTCGCTGCCGCTTCTGGTCCTGTTTCTGTGGATTCGCTTTCCTCCCGGTCCTGGGTAACACCTCGCTGTGACTTGGCTGCCGGCTGACTTCCGATGGGCTGCGGGGCCTCGTGCCGTTCACGGCGTTGCTGGAATCTGTTCTGTTCCCTCCGAGTGGTGCTGGCTTTTTGTCCCGAATGCGGTTACTCGGCATCAGCTGGGTCCTTCCGATGTTTGCTTTCAAGCTCTGTTTGGGCCCTTCCGGGACAACGTGTACTTTAAGGGTCATTTACCCCTGGTGCCCCCCCTTCTTTGGTTAGAACTCTATCTGGTAGCTCATGAGTTATGAAGTCTCCTCACTCTGGCCGGCAGGAGGGACAGTTTGCGGCCATTCTGTAGCCTCGGGTAGTCTCTTCTCACACACACGCAGGTCGGGACTCAGTCCGCAGGCCCTGCCGCAGGCCCCTGGGGCTCCCTCCTCTTTCTGCCTCCCCCGGGACTCAGCCTAGCGGGTCCTGGGCACCGTGGTCCCAGGGGGAGCCGACTCCTGTTTCTAACCCAGTCGGTCACCGGGCTCCACCCCTCCCCACCCCAGTCCTGGAAACCCCTCCAGGCCCCAGTCCGATCGCCGAGCTCACCCTGCCCTTCCCAGGTGCCCCAGGCCCGCTTGGCCCTTGCCTGCCGCCGGGGAACCCGCTGTCTGCCGTGTTTGTCCAGTCGTCTCGTCATTTAAGGAGTGAGGGTACATCGTCTCTCAGCCTGGACGAGGCGCCTCGAGTCCTCCAGGTTGGAGCCGTTTCTATCCACAGCTTTCCTGGGATGGTCGGCGTTTGGTCGTAAGGACGTATCTGGAGCATGTAAATAAGAGGAAGGAGGTCACGGGTAGCTGGCAAACAACCTCTCTGGCTCCTGCTCCACTTTCGGGCCAGGTGGGCCAACACCGTTCTCCCTGAAATGTCGGAACGCATCTCGGTGCGTAGCGCCTTAAAGGCCATTTTGAATAACATCGGACCAATTTAGCAAGCGATTAAAAGCTAATTAGCATCTTTGCGTCATGTTCGTGGGAGGCATCTCCGTGGCAGGTAGGACGTTCCCGCAGCGTCAGGTGTCCTGACTCGGGCTGGCCCTCCACCCGAGGCGGCTCACGGGTGGATCTGGGCCGGCAGGGCTGGGCGTCGGGCGCCTGGCTCCGCCCGGTGGCTCTGGTGCGTGGAGAGAATGCTCTGCACTTGGCTTTGCTTCCGTGCTCCCGAGGTGGAAAATGCGCGGTTTCACACTTTCTAAAGTAATGTTAGGCTTTACAGCCCTCGAAATTTAATTCCCTCTCACTGCCTCTAAATTGCATTTCGAATCTGTTGTCGTTGGTAAAACACTCATTCATTGGAGAATTGTTTTTGATTGGGCGTTTCCATCCAAAGTTTGCTGGCGAGGCAGACCCTCTGCGGGCCGGGGGCCATGGGCCTGCTGGCTTCCCACACGGCGCCGGTGTGCGGTCGGGGCCGGCGGTGTCCTGGGTCCTGCCGTCCGATGAGGTGGAGAAAGGCTGACAGGTGCCATCCTCCTCCTCTTAGAAAGTCCCTTCGTCTCGGTCACAGGGTTTTCCTCTAAAGCCATTTTCCTCTTCTTTTAAATAACCATTCTGTTAAGCCAAGGGTCTGTAATTTCATGTCCCATTGAGGTTGTCCCTTAACTTGCAAAGCACAGTCCACAGTTGTAATTCTTATTTTAATCAGTGTGAAGCTCGCACGTCCAGGCGGTGGCTGACCATTCAGCGTTGGCCGGAGAGCGGCCGAGGGGCCCTGGGGGGCCAGTGACAGACCTGCACCGGCACCGAGCCAGCTGTTGGCGGAGATGCCGCGGTCAGGCAGCCACGTGGAGGGCGGAGGGCGAGCTGGGTGCCAGGCCCAGCGGGAGCACAGCTCCACGGGCGCGGTGTCCTTAGCGGAGAGAACCGATGGCCTCCCCTGACGGCCTGATCTCTTCCCGCGGCACAGCCTCCCCAGGCTGGCTCCCTCTGTCTCGAGTCCCGCCCACCCATCCTGCCTGGCCTCCCTTCTAGCGCCCCCCATGTTAGCCTGCCTGCCCCTCCCCTAGCTGGTCACCACGCTCAGAGGCAGACACTGCAGACTCTCCAAGGGCCAGCAGGTGCGGCAAGGGTGTGAAGTACCTGGGCTGGGGGCACTGGCCAGCTGGCTGTGCTCAGTGTCCTGGCTGCGCCCCCAACCCTCTGCTCCCACCTGCCCAGGTGTGTTCCTGGGGCCTCTTGCCCTGCCCCAGGCCTCAGGTGCTGCAGAAGGAGCTCATTCTCAGGGTAAAACTGTGCTGCCGCTCTGGGGGACCTGGCGGGAGCCTGGGGGGTGCTTCGGAGCCCGTGGGTGTGGTCCGCTGAGCTGTTTGCCCCGCATGCCCCTCATGCGCCTGCCCCACGTCTGGACTTGTGGTCCCAGCCGGAAGCCCGCCTTCCCCAAGAGGGCTCCCCTCGTCCCTGTTGGACTGAGCCCTGCTCCACCCCATTTCTGCCTCTGTAAAAAGGGCACTGAACTCCCCTCCCGGTGCTTCTGTGAGGACGAAAAGCGAGACGGCCGGGCTCTGTCAGGCACCATGCGAGCGAGGGGCTCTGCTGTTGGAGGCCGTGGTTCGGTGGCCACGAGGTCCGGCCTCCACTGGGGCCGTCAGACCTCTGCTCCAACAGGGATGCTCGGATGTCTCCGGTGGCGGGGAGTTCACCACCTTGCAGAGAATCCTGCCTCATTATTGGGTGCTTCAAGTCGGACAGCAGAATCGGCCTCTTGGTGACAGATGTCGTGAGTCTTTATTGCACCGTGCTCCGGGGGATGGAAGTGTCTCGAGGGCCATGTGTCACCGTCGCATTCCTCCCAGCTCCCTGGTGCCCCGGTGCATCTCCTGCTTGGAAAGGGCATCTGGAGATGTTCTCCGTGTGCTCGGCATGGGGCACGGGGCGGAGAGGAAGGCTGGGTGGGTGTGGGCTCAGGCTGAGGGTGGACATCGGGGGCAGGGGTGCTGGAATGTCCCTGGGGGGCAGCTGTTGGGCCAGGACATTGCTTTTCAGTGCCAGGCTCTCAGGCCGCTTCGGGGAGTTGTCGCTCGCTTCTGCTCTGGCCGGCCCAGTTTCAGGGCGGCGCAGGCTGCCCCAACTTTGCTGGGACTTGGGTCACGTTGGGTAACCGACTCCAGAATGGGGCCTGGAAGTCCATTACCCAGTTAACTAGGGGGAGAAATTGATTTGGGGGGGTGCAGTTAATGGGACTTCCAAAACCTCGAGAGACCTGGAGGAGACAGCGACTTAGCCTTAAGGGGGCCCTCCCCCGAGTGGAGGCAAGGAACTCAGGAGACAAAGGCGGGAAGCAGTGTCAAGCCCATGGGGCCCTGGCTAGCTCACTGTCCCTCTGTCCAGGTGACTTGCCCCGAGCAGAAAGAGTTGAAGTCACCATGTGACTCAAGGGGAGACTCTCCGCCTGGTGGCCCGCGGAGCTGCTTTGTTCGGCCTGCGTGGCACTTAAATAATGAAGTTAGTGACAGGATGTGGGTCTGCTTTTGCGGGAGGGTCAACCCTGGTGGGGCCGGCGCCTGGCCCTGGTTCGGGGGCGCTGCTGCTGGTCCCCGGGCTTCCCTGGGGCTCCACTTGCCTTTGTCCCTTCGCTCCTGTTCCCAGCTCCCCTTGGTGAGTCGGGTTGGCAGCGAACGATCCAGCTCCTGTCCTTGGGGACCGGGGGGAAGGCACCTGTAGGCCTCCCCCACTCTCCTGGGGCCCGATGCCTCGATGCCCCGCCGGGCACACCTGTCCTGTGAAGTCACCTGCCCGTGCAAAGGTGGTGGGCTCTTTCCTGCATTGTCCTCCTGAATGGACGAGGAATCCGCCCTTCTACCGTCTTGCCTGTCCGCCAGTTGTGTGCCGTGACGTGGATTTTTCCTCCCTCAAGGAACGTCACCCGAATAGCAAATCAATTCCAGCACCTCCCTGTGTCCAACCTGGGGGGTGGCTGCACAGAAGCCCGCACCCCACCCGCCGCCACCTTTGTGCAAGCAAAACATCGGCCGTGATGGATGGAGCACATTAGTGGGGGGCTTGGCACCATTTTGATTTATTCTGTTTACTTTGAAACTAGTTTTCTCACTTGCCAAATGGGTTAATTATGAGAAATGAATTGCGGGGCTGGGTGGGGAGGGAGGGAAGGAGGCTAACATTCAGGGTCCCCGATCCAGGGGCCATGTGGCCACAGGGTCACCACGCCTTGCTGGCCCTGCGCTGTGGCCTCATGCCCTGCCCTGCAGTGACAGCTGCGGCCCCAGGCTCCCCGAGTTACCCTCGTGTTTCCTGCCGCAGGGGCGGGCTGGGGACAAAGCACACCCGCCCTTACCGTAGCAACTTGATTCCGACGGCCTCAGCTCAGGTTCTCGGCAGTTGGTCACTTCC